GGCATCTGTAGTGGCAGTTTGTACTTTGATATGGCCTTGGTCAGAAAGATACCCATCCCAATCGAACCAGAAGATCCTTTCACCATCGACAAGTTTTTCCTCTGTACCATCATCCTCAGGTGATTCATAGTGTGGCAAATACCCGCATTTGTCAGGACAATGTTCGAACGTTAACGTAGATTCCTTCCAATCAATGCTAGGATTATGGTAACGTAGCCAGTCTATGCCTAGAAAGATATCTGTCTTGCCTAGATTGGTAACTGCCATATCTATTCGTTCGGCATGATCTCCTATCACCATTCGGACTTGTACATAGCCTTCTATGGAACCATTTTTGTTCAGAGTGCCATCGGCATTATAGACTGGCATTTTGACTGGTAACTCCTTAACAGCGAGCTGGTGATGTTCTACAAAATCCTTATTGATACAGGACCCTGTGGCTCCGCTGTCTAGGAGGGCTTCCGTTTCAATCTGTACACCATTGTTGATATTCTCAATAGTGGTTCGCAACTTTAGCTCACGTCCTCGGGTACCTCGGACGAATCTCTTACGACTTTTGAGATTGGTAACTGCTTCAGTTGCGGTTGCATGACTCAGATTTCGTACAGCCAATACCGTTTCTTCCGATGCTTCTCTGACACGACTTTCAGGCATCCAGGCTCTAAGGATTCCTATAGCCATAGGGAGTTTGTCCATTTGTAACCGCTGCACCACCCATTTAGGTGTGTTTGGTTCATATCTCACAGGTTTTTCCTCAGCTCGGGTCGTCATTGTAGATAAGTTATTTTTATTGGGTGTACCAGTACTACCAAATTCAAAACTAAATTGACTGTCTACATATGACGATGTCGAAAAGTCCGATGCTGATTCTGAGATTGGCCCCGGCAGACCTGCGTCTACTGCTGGGGCAGGACAAAACCCAATTCTTTGGCCATAGCTACCTGATCCTCCTGTGTCATCCGGCTCCACATGCCTCTGACGAACTGCGGCTTTGGTGCTTTCTCTGGACAGAACTTCGCAATGTGGCCTTGCTTGCCACAATGGAAACATTCCTTGTTGCGACGCGCAGCGTCGATGTCCATTGGTCTGCCTGCACCTTTGAAAGTTGTTCCAGTACCGTCTTTCCTATCCTGGGTGGGTACCGCAGGGGTTGGAGCCTTAGTTATGGGAGCCTGTGTCGTTTGTGGTTGCCATCTCTGGCTACTAGGTCCTTGCCCAGCATTCCGCTGGTATCTGTTTGACCAATTCCGTCGCATTTCCTCACGACGCCACCACATGTCATCGATACTGATAATCTTCTGTTTGAGTTCATCGAATTTCTCGATTTGCTCATTGCTGGTGCCATATACTTGGTCGATCAGCTTCGGCTTTACGTTCATTTCAATTAGCCTGATGACGTAGGGGGCGTCCTTAGCATATCCGGCGTCTCGCATGATGACTTCAAATTCCTTGAAGAAATCCTCTGCCCTCTCATTGGGGCCCTGACGGAGATGTTCTAGCTTCTCCTGAGCATTCTCTGTGAGTCCTTTGTCTAGGAAGGAGGCATTCAATGCATCCTTGAATCCTTTCCAGGTGACTTTCCATTCCTCCTCGTCGTCATTGAAATTATCGTCTGTATAATTCTGGACCCAGCTACTGACTTTGGGACCTCGCATATACGAGACCGCAATGTCGATTCTTTCACTGTCTGTGACGATCCTATTCCTTGGATCACGAATGTAGGCAAAGAGGGTATGGCGCCACTCTTTGAACTGGGCTTTGTTGCCATCAAAGATGCTAGGCTCTCTGAGCAATGACTTGCCATGAATATTGGAGGTAGTGGTGGTGGGAGCGGGAGTAGGGTTAGACATGCTGAAGTTGGGTGGTATGTAGGCGGGTATGAATGAGGTGATATTTCGTTCAATAGAGGATGAAGTGGATGGAGCAGATGAATCGGGGGTACGGTAACGATTGGTTTGTACCGAAAGTCTAGGTCATCCTAGTCTTGAAGTAAAATCCGTTGTAAGGAAGACGAGTTACTAATGCAACTCGGTGGTGATGATGGGAAAATGTATGATTGGATTCGTAGAAGTCGGGAATAATATGGGAGAGATTTCGAAAATAGAGTACGATGATGTGGGAAGCAGCCTTCCACTCTCGATTGATGAACAGATGCACCCTCCCTATCTAGGAATGGAGCTCGTTGTGCACGCGAAGACCCCTCTCCGAAGATTAGTGATCAGTCGACGCTTTCGTCTGCCAGTACGGTGTCGGACTCAACGTTACACCTTTGTACTATAGGCGACACTGCTCGAATAGAGAGTAGAAGTCTGTGAAGGGTTGGTAAAAATGTGAGCGGGGATAATTGTGATAGGGATATGATTGCGTAGCGTGTGACAGGTGGTAAGAATAGCTTTGATCTTCTGTCAGCGACTGATTCTAGTAACAGGTGTCACCAGGTGTCACACTCAAGAAAACCTCAGGTAGTGAAGCGATAAAGGAAGTAAGCAGAGTTCTGGGCTAAACCAGGTAGAATAGACGAGATCAAAGCTAAGGAAATACAGCAAGTAGCTACAGCCTATATACTAGTGAACAACCCTCTGCCCTAGTAATGCCCAACACCCTGGGTTAGTGGTAAACATGAGTAGAACATAAGTAAAGCAATGTGTAAGTAATGAAAGCTCGATCGCCATGCTGTATACGTGTTGTGAGACTGCTGTGTTTAATATAAGTAAATGAAAAGCGCATGTTGTATCAGTAAGCATAAATAATAGGTCAGGTGACAAGATAAGACAAGATATAGGATAAGGGAGGTAGAAGATAAGACAAAAGATAAAAGATAAGACAAGGGATAAGGAGAAAGATAAGATGAAAAAGAAGTGATCGTAACAATGAGCCTCCAAGAATATCATCAAGTACATTCAGTGTATAGTATGCCATTTTCATGCAGGTGTTATAGACATGAAATTCATTCCATGGTGGGGGTATTACATGTATATTGATCAGGGGACTTGGTTTCTTACTTGTGTACATAACTAAGGACTAATATCTGAACTTGACACACAGGAAGAGAGCATAAAACAATTGAGCAAGAATTGAGCTTGGAACAGTCAGACAGGCAACTCAGATACATTTAATGTAGACAGAACTGCAGTGAAGAGTGGCAGTTACTTTGTAGAAACTGTTACTACGAAAGTTCTGTGCTTCAATCTGCATGGATTTGCATGTAACCTGGGCGGATCTGCACCTAACATTGCACGGATCTGCATATAACTTGTGCAGATCCTACATGTAACTTCTGCACCCAGCTTTTACTAACAATCAGATCAATAAGAGTCTCATTAAACAGACAATTTCCCTCAAACTATTAATGTGATTGTTGCTATTCAGGTACATAGCAGTATTGGCAATGACTACATAGAATATCTGTCATGCCTCGACCCGTTAGCCATAGCTTCCTGCTCCACCCTGCCCTGCATTCCGCCTGACCCCTAGCTCCCCAATTGCCTCTGCAACACCTCCCACTGTTTCCTCCGCCTCCCCTACCTTCCCATAATACCCTTCCTAATTACCCAAATGTCCTGATGGCTCCCCCGACACGCGTATGGAACCTTCCTATCACCAACTCCATTAAGTATTAATCTCAATTACCTGCCTCATGTTCCCCAGATTCCTGGATGTTCCCTTGTTTACTTCCCGTACCTATTTAAGTAGTATCGCAACGTCCCCAAGCCCCAGCTTGGTATATTTTGAACACACACCCTTTACATAGGTCCAGTCCCTGTCCCTTTGTACCTGCTACCTATATGGAATTCTCTTTACTCTCTGTTTCTCTACTCTTGTCTCTTGTCTCTATGATCGTCTATACGATCCAATACATGCTTCTACTTCACGTCTAAGCAACCTGAGTGAGTCTTCGAGCTCCCTTGACCAATACTAAAGCTCCCCAACATCTATCGTTTTGGTGAGCCAACCTCCCCAAGTGCTCCACGAGCTCTGGGATCTTGACCTAGGTAATGTCAAAGCTATCCCTTATGTCAAACTACATGCCGCTTCTCCATTACTACCTCCACCACTTGAGGACATCAGCCGCTACCACCACTTCCCGGGACCTCCTTCCTGGGCTTACACTTCATCGGGAGCTCTCATGTCAGGAACCCACATCAACTATGATCTACAACAATTCTACATTGACACTCCTATCTACTACAACTCGTACTACGCAACATTCCGATGCTCCCTAGCTTCTGGTTACCTTTAGTCCACCAGTTAACATCCTAGGGACCTCCCAGGACCTACTAGGAACCTCTTCAAGGGTCATCCCTCTCAATCCGAACTATCATTAGGTCATTCCTGTCCTTGGTCGCGGTTCCCGTAGCTCCCTTCGAGCTCCAGCTTGCTCCTAGCATGCTACAACATAAATCTCTTATACCAAACCTACCCTTAAGACCAATTCTGACCCAGGTCTTATAATATCTCACAAATACCAATCACTCACATGTGAAGATTATGAAGCAGATAAGCTTCAGAATATCTGCTCAATCATATCTTTGCTCTCAATTGTTGAATCATTGTTAGTAAGACACCAGAATAGATAGTTTAGTTAGTAATCCAGTGATACTGAACAAACTCAAGTATTAGATAAAATTTCAGGATAGGAAAATTAAATTGGACCTGTAGAGCTCCATTGTACAATATCATTGTCTGGAACTAATTGAGAAGCAATATGACTATGTAGCAGGATTTTGTACACAATGTTGTATATTTACAGATTGCACACGGAACTGCGCGGAACTGCGTGGGACTGGTGCCGCACGGGTTACGGCAAAAGTTCTGTGCCCCTACAGAAGTACTATGATGCACAAGGAAAAGCAACATCTTGTAGTAGCTCGCAGTAAAGATCAAGGGTTTTGATACCTATAATACATTAGATTTCTAGGCCTCATGGATAGGATAGGATAGGATAGTGGTATCAAAGGTATAATACGGTATAATACATGTATTATACCATCCTGTATTATACCACCTGGTTCAATACCCAACACTACCTGGAATCGTCTTTCTGTATGCTTTTTTGACTATTATTGCTGCTTCTGGAGCTCTTCTGAGCTTCTTTGTCCAAACTCCGGTGCCGGAGCTCCACCTACGTCCATTGGGCCACCAAATCAGCCAATTGATACCCAAAGTATGCTATCTCAGACAGGGATTGAGACTTCCGAGGCCTAAAGTACACTAATTCGGATGGGGTCTGGTAGCGTCAATATGATAAATAGTTAACCTGAATGCAGCTATGTTGAATGTGAACGCAAAGATTTGAACGCAACAATGTGAACGCAAATCCGTCGGAACGCAGAACGCACCGGCGGAAGGCGAAATTATACCATCCGGTCTGGTAGGAGCTTCTGGGGTCCTGCAAGGTGATTTTGACATATTTCATTCGATGAACTTCATTGCTATACACCTAGAGGGCCCACACTGCACTTCATCAACAACTTTGTACCCTACTCCTTCATACAACTCCCTCAACGAGATCAACGTCAACACAAACGTCGAAACGTGGTCTACTTTGGACTGCCGAATGCCCCACCCGAGCAAAAGCGAGGCAAGATCTCCTTTATCCCGATCATCACCATGGGAAATTAGATGAGATTCCGTTCTCTTCTCTTCCTCGCCATTCGCTGAACGACCGAACGTAAAAAATTCAAAGGAATACCAATGAACGCGATCTTCACCGCTCCAAAGACGTTTACTCATGTCAGCGACGGTCTTGCGCCATTCTTGGATAGCATTCCGGTCTATGCAGCGGTTGGGTTGGATTTTATCTGCGATCTTGTCCATCCAAGCGTAGGTATGCCTTCGTATCACTAATTATCCGAGATGAGATGCTTAAAATAAAACCAGAGGGCAAAACTCGCACCATAATACCATGAATTCTTCGCAATATTCAGTCCTTTCGGCTCCGGCACATCATCATTATCACCACTACCCCCTCCCGCTACTTTCGGTGCATAGACCCACACAGCTATTCCCTTCATATCTCGATCAGAATCCTCAGCAACAAGAACAAGAGTATATGGCCGCAAAATCATATCTCTATAATACCTCCTCCACCAAGAATCGAAATCCTGGGGATAACGGTCTTGGTAAGGAAAGAAATAGTCATGGAAGCCGTCGTGTGAGACTTGAGGTAATACGAGAGACATTATCTTCGATACATCAGAGAGGGTGGCTGGGCGAAGATGGAAGCTGGGGTGTTGTCCGAGAGGAACTGACATCGCGGGATCGACGAAATGGTGGATTCTTGGAATGTGTCCGATGGTCGACGTCAAAGCAAGAAAGAGGAGAAAAGAAAGTGAAAAAGTACCGATGCAAAACGTAATTACCATTTGGTTGTGCTTTCCCATCCCGTTCATGAAGTTCCGTATCAAAATCATGATGGGAGGTTGACGGTTGGCCTCATATTGTTCTGGGTTGAAGTTTGGCACTGATGCTGCCTTTTATCGACGTATGATGTGGCGGGATGCGGCGGGAGAAGCTTCTAGATCCCATATGCTTCCTTGATATCCGTTGCCTCCGAACATTCTTCAATTTCTTACCCAGGTTAGCGTCAAGGATGCAACCCACCCCGAAATTTAATAGAATTCTCATTCTCGCTACATATCTTGGTCGGCCAATCCCGGTCAGTTGGATTCTTCAACTGCTTGATGAACTTTTATATGCTGACATTGAATTAATAGGACAGTGCTTAAAATAGAGCAGTGTGTGGTGTACTGGATGATAATGGTTATTTGCTAAGTGAAGATGGTGTTATTGCTATTTTAGTGATGTATTCTCACTCGCGAGGGTCGCAACTATCTACGGATTTGCAGCGTTCTGCAGCTCCGCAATCGAAGCAATGGACTCCTTAACTGATGCTGTAGAGATTTGCTCCCTATTACTACTACTAGTAGTAGTGGCGGGGAACGGGTTTTATCCAGGTTTTATCCAGACTTCGACTGTCTTTAGCTGTCTTTAGACATACATAAGTAAAGAACTAAAATGGAAGTAATTGAACTACGCTGGAACTGCGCATTCTGAATTCGTGTCAAATTCGCGTTAACATGATGATCTACCCGTATACATTGCTATCATGGGGCTTTTGAATCTGTTCCCGCAATGATCGTACTGGGACGGACTCTGACGGACTTCAATAGATTCCCCCGAAAGTCATACATCAGCCAATTACTATTTTTCTTTGCTGTACTTAAGTATACTTTGTTTTTCATCTTCAAGAGATTGCTTGTCACAAAAAGCTATAAGATACACCGGAGAATCTTAGACGTTCCACCACCACTTAACTGCACCGGAATAACCCTCTCCTGAGCTTGTAAGTGTTACAATTATTTATTGTGGTGAATCCAAGTTTACGAGCATTCTCCCAAGAATGCAATTCACAGCACTTACAAAGTTCCTCGTTTTAGCCACTTTGGTTAGCGTTGTGCTCACGAATCCCAGTAAGAGTTCTTCATTTCAGCCAGAACTACACTAATGCGGGAGGGAACAGTAACCATACAAATGAAGAGAGCCGTGTTCGGCTGTGATAGTGATGATGCTTGCTATATGCTCGACCCCACTGAAAACTCTTGAGGATGGGTTTATATGCTAGCACGATAGAGCAGTAGCTACACGCATAGACACACACCAGATACAGCCAGAAGGAGAAAACACTCAAATTGATGTAGACGTAGATCCCATGCATTTTGATAGCACTCTGGATCTCGGTACGTATGTAACTCCTCCCGAATGACAGCGAGGACATTCAACGAAATTATGTATTATGCACATATGTCCAAAGGCACGTATGCAGCGTATGAAGCGGCTTCATGCATCTAACCTCATCTGGCCTATATATATACCCCCAGAAAGAGAATACCACAAACTTGATATCCACATAGCTTCACAAATGAACCATGTTGCAGATCAGGTACTGCTTAGTGCATCTTAGTAAATAGGCGGAGGGTTCAGTTAACTACCTACAGCGACCTACTGAGATCATTGGATTTACTCTGAGAGTGATACTCGAACAACTTAACGATGAGGGAAGCCGTTCTGTGCCTGCTGTTCCCGCACTAAATTTCCCGGCGACCTTATCATGGCCGAACATTGCTTTCAAAACTTCGTTACGACCCATCGTTGATCCTGATTCTCCCTAATTTCGTGCTCGTTCCTCTGCGCAAAGTGGCCACTAATCTTCCAAGAGTCAAGTCAGATAGCCACTACTATACCCAGTGCACAAAATGGCTGCTGTCTCCCCCGCAGAGATAGCCATATATCATTCATGGATCGATGCTTATTTAGTTTCTGCTTTCGTCGAACTTTTCATGGATGGTGCGCAGAAGTCCAGCATTGGAGGCCTTGATTTCTCCTTGACAAGCTATATGAACTGACAGGCCTTTATACTGCTCTGATCATTGTAACTGTCCTTGTCATTGGTGAGTAAAATTTATGCGCAAAAAGCCTTCATTCAATTTCCGTACCTTATCTTCCATGGTGCCAGCGAGCATTAAGCAGAAGCGTTCCCTTTCCGACTATGTTATCTACGCGTCACTCTTCCTACTCTATGCAATGTGTATGGTTCATCTCGGAAGTTGGGCTGCCCATATCCACGACGGTTTCATCAACCATACAGGCGACACGTCGACTGTCTTTGCATTTTTCTCATTAGCGAGTCACCAGGCAATAGTGAGGGATGTCATGGCTGTCGCGATGACTTTGGTTGCGGATTTAATTCTGGTAAGGATCCAGTATCGCTCAAATAGATAAGCGAACTTCGAACTTGAATAGGTGTGGAGGGTATTTGCGGTATGGGGATCCTCCTGGAAGATCGCATCAGTTCCTTTAATTTTAACTCTTTTCGCACTGGGTAAGGCCTTCTTCTGTCCCTTGCTAAAAAGCGACTGAACAGACAACGCGTAGCATTTGGTATTCAATACATCGACCTTGCAACCAAGCCATCGAATCTGGTCTCTCTCAAATGGATTACCGACGTTGCAGGTATCTATTATGGCTCAACCCTAGGCAACACGGTCATTTCGACGCTCCTCATCCTGCTCCGCGTGCATTCATTGAGTGGTACAAAAGGAATCAATCGCTATTGGCGCTTTCTATCATTGGTTGTAGAATCAGCGGCACTATATTCCGTGATTCTAATCATCTATATGCCCTACGTTACTGGTACCGATTTTGCCACGCATGCGCCCACTGAGATAGTGCAGAGTGTTGTTATTCCTATCACGGTAAGTCCCTCTTTGTCTATGAATCCATGCTACCCTCTTGAGGTGATCTACAATGTCTGATTGACAGGGTATTGCTCCAACACTTCTCGTTGTCCGTGTCATCGTCAACAGAGAACTGGGATTCAGCCAGCCTGAGAGGAATACCCGCAGCTTTTTTACGGATATTGTCTTTTCTTCTAGGCTTGCACAAGAAACGAGTGCTGACGAAGATGTTGTGGAGTCGGCAGTGTCGAGCTCAAATGCTACGAAACGAGCAGATGGTAGCAGGGATTTGACAACTGTCAAAGAGACATCTATAGTATGAATGATGGGAACTGTAGCATTAATTGGGTTTGATTATTCCAGGTTCACACTGTTCACTGGCAATATGTAAGATACACGACCGAAAGGGTTTTTGCATTGCGGGACCTCATGGGAATATTATCATTATCCTATGTCACACCACATACCTCGGTATGCTGCCGTGCATATACAGCCGAACCTTCGGACTCATTCCTAATAAATCTCAAAATCATTATCATCGACAACAGTTATTGTATTTTTTCCATATAAGAGCACTACTATGTACCGCTAAGTCCTTCTGATTCCTTCCCATCAATCTTGAATCTTACATATGTCAACCCCGTACTATCCCCTTCTTCAAGAAGAGTCGGACAATGTAGAGTCCGAGACACCAAATGACTTGGCTCAATGGGGCCATATACGTGCCCATGGTACACGGCTTATAGCTAATTCGAGGAACCAACGATGGAAAATTGCGTTCTTTGTTTCTTTCCTTGCCAACATACTCACGGTATTCAACTCGATATACGCTCTCAATTCGGATGTGGAGATCTCGAATAACTTCCCTCCCCAAGGTCAAATGATATACAGTTAGCTCTTCTCATTGACGCAATTTAGATTATTTCCCTCATGCTATAACTCTCACTCGCAATGTATAGTTCCCTCCGAAGCAGCAATAGACTACGAGCTGGTCAAGTATCACTTGGGGATCGGACATGATATCGAGATTTACGAAAAGCCTCCTTCTCCGGAGGTCGATGCAGCTTGGGTAGAATTGACGAAGTGTAAGTACTTATAGCCACCTCCCACATTCAGGATACAAATCCATTTTTTCTTTCCAGCTTCAATTGCTAGAGTACCACAGTCCGTAGCACAGAAGCTCCCGAATGAGACTTGGCCAGTCCCAGGTACGGCAGATGCACCAGAGTACATTGTAAGTCCAGACGTTTTTCATGCACTGCATTGTCTGGTTAGTCAACTCTTTCTTGTGTCCATGGAAAACAACCGATATCCCTGTCTTTAGGACCTTCTACGAATGAAATTATACCCCGATCATTACAGCTCTAAATTCCCACTGGACCAGAAAGGTCATGCCGAGCATTGTGTAGGCCACATCCGACAATCATTAATGTGTTTCGGGGACATGACCACGAATGTCTATCAATACTCCAAGAATCATGGGTACGCTTTTTTGAGGACGGATGTAGCGCATACATGTAGAGATTTCGAAAAGTTGAAGAGTTGGACTCAAGATAATTGGTTGGATTTGAAGGATGAGATGTTGTCATTGGATATTGAAGGAAATCCGATTTAAAAATTAGGGATTGTGGATGAAACTGATGCACGTTGGCTAAAATATGTATACATTTAGAATCTGGATAGAGGGCGATGGTATATGCTAGCTATGTCGATAGAGCTATTCCTCATCTGGATAGCTCAATGAAGATGTTTGTGGTGGTAACCCACACTTGTTCAATAACTAGAAAAGATAGCGACATTCATTATGAGCTTGATTTTTCCATTCACATATCCCTTTCTGCCCACTTGGTGCTCCGAGTCTATCACTGGATCAACAACTTGATTTCTCATTGACTAGGTTTGGGTCACTCCAGTCTCTATTGCTGGCACCCAATGTCATTTTATTCCACCCTTCACCTACTGCAAACCCTAGTTAGTAATCAGCTGTGAATCAGTTTGTTGTCACAAACTCTCAATTGAATCCACATTGGGTATTTCTGGTTCCTTATCTTCTTTTGAAGAAATGTTATTCTTACTCCCATACCTGCTTTTCAAGAGCAACATGCATGATTACCAAGGTATACAACAATTGTTTCGGATTTCCACATTTCAGCACTTTCAGATCATCCGGGATCAGATTTTGCTTTACCAGTGAATTCAAAGGTACATCTATTACAATTACACAACTAAATAGGACTACTTACTGATTTGCATATAGCCAGTGAAACACTCCTTCCAGTCTGTTCCATGTTTGAAATGGCTCAAATCAAGAATACAAAGACCGTCTTGACTTATAAGAAGCTGCATAGGAAGAAATAATAGGACAAAACGATACTCTGGGGGAATCCAGATCAAAAGTTCGGAGTTTGAATTACAAAGCCATCCTTTACTATCAATGTGGCAGGTATCGAAGGGGGATGATATTCTGGACAATTCCGAGGTGGAATACCCATTCTCTACATGCCATAATCTTACAGACTTATCCAAAGAGCCAGATGCAATCATCTTTCCATTTGGTGAGAAAGCAATTGAATTGACCCGTCTTGAGTGACCCCATAATGGAACCCCTATAGCACTGCCAGTCTCTACATTCCAAATTCTTATTGAATGATCTTCAGATGCTGAAGCAATTTTGTTCCCATCAGGGGAGAAAGCAACTGAAGTCACTATTCCTTTGTGCCCTTGTAAGACAACTGGCTTTGGATCCTCATTATTCAAGTCCCAGATGCATAACGTGCAATCAAAGGACCCAGAAATGAGTTTTTGACCATCTGGTGAGAATGCAACTGAAGTCACCCCATTTGTATGACCTTGCAAGCAGTCTCCAACAGCTTCCCCAGTGTATCTATTCCATATTCTTATAGTTTTATCCCAAGATCCAGAAATTATCTTCTGTCCATTTGGTGAGAATGCAACTGAACTCACTGCACCTGTATGCTCATTCAGTTGATTCCCAACAGCATTCCCACTTTCTGCATTCCAGATTATTATAGAGTTGTCCAAAGATCCTGATGCAATTGTCTTTCCATCTGGTGAGAAGGAGATGCAGAGTATCCCTTTTGTATGACCTTGCAGTGGATTTCCAATAGCTTCTTGAGTTTCTGCCAAATCCTCACTGAATGATCTAAAGAGCCTGTCACAAGTTTCTTTCCATTAGGTGAACAAGCAACTGCAAGGATATAATTGCTATGTCCCAGCAGTGGATTGCCAACTGGATGTCCAGTATCAGCATCCCAGATTTTTGCAGAGTTGTCTAGAGATCCAGATACAATTCTTTTTCCATTTGGTGAGAAAACAATGGAAGTAATTCCATCTTTATGTCCTGGAGATTCATCTTCCAACATCTCGTTGCTCTCTAAATTCCAGATCCGCACCAACTTGTCCCAGGATCCAGACACAATTCTCTTTCCATCTGGTGAAAATGCTAGGGAGCTGACTGCATCAATGTGACCCTGCAATGGCCTTCCAATAGGTTCCCCAATGACTACGTTCCAAATTATTATGGTGTTGTCAAATGATGCAGATGCTATCCTTGTCCCATCTGGTGAGAAAGCAATGTAAGTCACAGTATTTGTATGTTTTTGAAGCGAGCCCCCAACAGGCTCTCCTGTTTCTATGTTCCACATTCTTACAGAGTTATCTGCTGAGCCGGATGCAACCATTTTCCCACATGGTGAACAAGCAACAGAAGTGACCTCATTTGTATGGCCTTGCAATGGATGTCCCACAGCTTTTCCAGTTTCTGCATCCCAGACTCTGATTGTGAAATCATCAGAACCGGAAACAATTGTTTGTCCATTTGGTGAGAATGCAACTGACTTCACACCTTTTGTGTGCCCTTGTAGTGCATCAAAAAGAGCCATTCCTGTCTGTGCGCTCCAAACTCTGACTGACTTATCCCAAGATCCCGAAATAATTTTCCTGCCATCTGGTGAAAAAGCAACTGATGAAACCTGATGTGTGTGTCCCTGTAATGGATCTCCGCAAATTTTTTCACTCTCTACATCCCAAATTATAACTGAGCTGTCTGATGATCCAATGACAATCTTTTTACAATCTGGTGAGAAAGCAACAGCATTAACCCCCATTGCTGTTTTTATTGCATTGCCTATAATCTCTCCAGTCTCCCCATTCCAGATTCTTATTGACTTGTCCCAAGATCCAGATATAATCCTTTCGCCATTTGTTGAAAAAGCAACAGATGAAACTTGCCCAGTATGACCTTGTAAAGAGGCTTGCTGCTGTGGCCAAGTGGCCTTATGCCCTTTAGAAATAACAGGCACATTTTTGAATTTCTCAGCATAATTTGTAATAAGCCTTGATCCTCTCGGGAGGAATGGTATTCCTGACAAGTACAAATGTGGTGTAGAGTCTGTGATCATTTTGCCAAAGCCTTGTACAAACAATCTGATCTCTTGAACAAAATCCTGCAGTTCATTGTCATTCATTGCTCCCTTTATTGATATCAGTTGATTAGGATGAATAAAAGCTCATATAGTTACATACTTTGGCATTTCCTATGATCTTCCGGATAATTGTTGCTGCTCTAGATGCAACATGCATGTTTCGGGTCAAGCTCAATGTTTCTATCCAAAACAATGAATAATTGTAGAAAAACTTTTGCAATATCGGTAAACACCAGTCTTTTTGCTCAAGTTTTTCAAGATGTAAGTCCCAGAAACAGCAGGCATACAAAATTTCCATTGAGAGTCCTTTTAGAATCTTTTTGTGCAAGTCTTTGACCTCAGAATTGAGGATGTATGAATTTTCCAGGTCACACATATTGAAATGAAGATCTTCAACCATGATATTCAGTGTTCCTTTTGCCAAAGTAGTATGTCCTTCCTTCAGATCAACCACAAATTGCTTGCTCCGATTACTATCCAAGAGAAAATCACGGACTGAAGCATGGACTGGCTTTACTGGTGCATCAAGTCCATCAACTCCAGTCAAAAGCGATCCAAGGAATGGAAGCACATATTCCACATTACTCTCATCGTCTTCCTCCACATCACCTGCCAATTGTAGTCTCTTTAGCACTGTCTGTGACAATGGCTGAAATGCTGCCAACAACTGAGACACCACTTGCCTGTAGGAATTCATTGCTTCCTCATCTTCAGGATCAAAAACATCATTCAAAATAGACATGTACAATCTATCAAGGGCTTGTAGATCTTTTTGATCTGCGGGACCAAGCGTAATGAAACGCTGAAACCGTTTATTCACAGACATTCCTGCTTTGCCTTGTCCATGAAGTGATTTGCAAACTGTATAAGCCCACTGGAAGAACCCTTCGGCTCTCTCAGCAAGAATCTTGCATTGATCTTCCTTTAGCATTCCTCGTTTCGAACCATTCATCATCTGGTGACAAACATATTTGAAAATGTCTTCATTTGTGTTGCTGATCTTGCTCATATATTGGACATGTGGCTCAGAGGCGCTTTCAAGGTGTACTATCACATCACTTTCAAGCCGGGTCGTCACAAGGACATGGAAATTTCTGGGAAGCTCATTGGTGTTATTGATGAGCAAGGAAAGTAATTTGTCTCTTGGACCATCCTTTTCTTGGGAACCACATTCATCCAATGCATCAATTATAATGACTACAGGTGTGAAGGGATTCTTCAACATTTTGGCAGGTCCTACAATGAGGACATTCCATAGATCACGGAGATTAGCACTCCCCAGAATATGTGGGTTATCTTGGAGTGCTTTTAGCAACCCTTGTTCAATATCTGAGAATCTGATGCTTAGATCATATGCAATGGTCCGTAAAGCATTGCTAGGGGTCCTTTCTCTTGCAAATGTGCGACTAAAGCCAAAAAATGCACCAAGATGTTGCTGGAATATTTTCCCAATAGTGTGACTAATGGTGGATTTTCCTGTTCCAGCTTCACCACAAAGGAAATATGCTCGAGAGGCATCTGGATCACTAGAGTTGATCCGATCCGATATCTCTTTGATGATACCAACTCTAGTTCCTTCCATGCAGATCCTATCTGTATCAAGCCAGGCACCTTGAACAGGTTGCAACTTCTCTTGAAGTTTGACTTGGATATTTTCTACACAAAAATAATTAGTACTCAGGCTATTGCAATAAGAATGAACGATCCGAGTGGTCATCAATGAACATGACTTGATGTAAAGTGTTGTTCAAGTTGCAAAATTTCAGGTATCAAATTACCACTGGTTCTTACCTGCATTATAGATAAAATGTGGATTCAACAACGTGAAATTGCTAGCATATGCAAAATCCCTTGTTTTGAATTTTATTAGTGATAAATCCTGGCGGGTATATTTAGATATCTTACCCGTAGATTACAGGTTCTGATTGTTGTGCAGCCATATGGGGGGAAGGAATAAAGATCGACGACAGGTAATTGTTCATATTTATGTTTACACGCGTAACACATGTCAAGAAAATATACTCGATTCAAAGCGGTTCACGAGACCTTGCCTTTCAGCCGACACTTCCAGTACTGAATCATCAAAAGAAACCATCGATAAGAAATATTAATCAAACAGCAGGCAATACCAAAACCCCAGGGGTGGTACATATGAATCACTGATTAGTGAAATCGATACCACTTGAGTTGAGCTTGCTTCTCAGGAGAAAGTCCTAAAGCCTCTACAGCTTTGTTAACAAGCTCTTCCTTATGTTCTTCGACTATCTTCAAGCCTGCATTGCGACTATTACGAGCAATGGCAATGATGATGTGTAATTTTTCGTTGGATGGGGAATCGCGCCCAGCCGGATAGTTCTAGATCATGGCACCAGGCGAACGGAGAATCCTGGTACGTATGCGCACAAAGGTCACAATGGTAGATGTAAACGAGTTAAGTCAATGGTTCGGGGATCGAGAGGAAAACCACGAACGGAAGGGCCGGAACCTTATTCCATCTTTTCGGGAGTAAGTCAATATTGTAGTAACTAATGGGCCTCTCGCCAGGAGGAGTAGGACCGAAGAGCTCGTAAGCCTCCATGACTGAGATGATCCACCCAAGTGAATAAGGCGGTGTGCGGTGGCCTTGATGAATGCTGTCAATGAGTGGCGGAATATCATCAATATCGAGAGATGGAGGGAACACTTCCGAGTAACTGTCTCCAGATTGTCAGCATGGTTCATGAGGGACCTCAGGACTGAGATTTGACTCACTTTGGGAGCTGAAAGCTGCCTGACATGATGGTTCAAGATCCAGCCACTGTACAACCTCGTTGGACAAAGCTTAGCCTTTTAAATAGACAAGATCAGGTTAAGCTCCCACGGGCCCTCTTCGACGGGGATAGATATGAGCGTTCCAAAAATCAACAACTGAGGAACGAGCACAGAAATAATGCCATGGAGGTACACACGACCAAGCTCATGGATCCATCTCAAACAAAGGAGATGGAAAACTATGACGATCAAGAAGAAACCCCAGAGCAAGGAAAGGCTCGACATGACGTAGAACGAGATAATAGGCAGGGACGAAGAGCAGAGAGGAAGAATGTGCTGCGAGGATAGGATAGGATAGTGTTGAACTCGAGCTTCAGTTGCTCATTGACATCACCGAAGAGGAAACCCCTGGTGTTTATGCGAAGGAACGTATCAACCACTATTCACGCTTACAATCAGCCTGTGACTCGGATTGGAACTTCATTTGGGGTGAACGTGGTGACTTTGTTGAGCACGATGCACAACTTATGCCACTAGAAGCGCGTGTAGATTGGTCTGGCTTGATGCAACTGGGATCCACAACCTCTGAAGACTACTTGAATCAGATACAAAAGTATTTAGCGAGATATCGTAATGGGAATTACAATTAAGAAAGGCAGAGGACGAGGTATTGAAAACGTAATTCGTATGGTTAATGAACTAGAAGTGAGAGTCCGTGTCAGATAAACGTCCAAAAAATGTGAAGCGCAAGCACGCAAAACAACTAAAACACGACTCCAATATCTTCCAAAACCTCCACCGTCGTCTCATACAACTCCCTCTGTAATCTCTCATCCTTTGCATAACTCGACGGCTCCGCTATTTTCGCCATAGGCACGAGATATACTCCCTCGTATCTCTTCCTCTCAGCAGCAACCTCCTTCCCAGCAGCCGCAAACGCCGAAGTCATCGCGCCCTGTTTCCACGACACAAACACCAGCGGGCCGATACAAGTCTTGAGGAACCATCCGATGAAGGGTATGGAATTGAGCAGGTCACCGGAACCTTCAGTCATCACAGTACCTGGGTGAAGGGCGAGGCAGGTAATGCCTGCGGATTCGGCGTTGAGACGATTTTGGAGGTTTTTGATGTGGAGGAGGTTTGCGAGCTTTGAGTTGCCTGTGCAGGGGAGTGTCTGAGGTTGGTTTGTTTAGGGGAGTAGATATTAGAAGGGGACGCACCGTAGGTGTTGATATAGCCGGTAACGGATTCGCCGTATTGTTTATTGAGGCTCTCCTTTCCGATGAACGATTCGGGTTTGACTCCGGCGTGAGCGGCGGACGAGACCTATAAGATTTATATGAGATTGACGAGGGGAGGGATGAACCAGAGAATTGGTATCTCACATTGAATACGGACATCCGAGTCCTTGAGTGCGGCAGTACGTTTGAGGAGTGGAAGTAGAGTTTCAGTGATGACGAAGTGGCTGATATGACTGGAGATAACCGAAAAGAACGTTAGCACTCAGAGGAAACGGATGAATGGATGATACGTACTTGACGACCATGATATCAAGCAGACCATCTTTGTTGAGTTTGAAGGGGCCATATGCTGCACTATAGCTCATATTTAACGTGCTGAATGGCGCTATCGTGTACCCGAGACTCACTGAGAGGCATTGTTTACTGTGAGATATTGAGAACGGTTGGATCTGGGAGTACAAAAGGCTACTCACCCAAAATATCTAGCCTTTCTTCCTTCGCAAGAAACTCGGTCCCAATTTCCTTCACTGAACGCGGATCCGAAAGGTCAAGCTTGAGCCAATGAATACTCCCTTTGCTGCTCTCGCCCTCTCCATCACTCTTGCGCAACTCGGCCTCGATCTCCTCAATAGCTTTCTGCGCCTTTTCCTTGTTCCGTGAAGCCATATAAACCTTGGCGCCTTTCCGAGCGAGGAATTCAATTGTGGCATAACCAATCCCAGTGCTGGAATTGACCAGGAATGTGAGCAAAATATACGCAGAGTTAAATGGATATGCAAGCGTACTTTCCACCGGTTACTAAAGCTACCTTTCCGTAGAGATCAACCAGGTCATCTTCTGTGATGACTTTCCGTGAGAAGAACATGGTGGCTTTGCTACGTTAAAGAGGGGGTGTACAGGGGTGGTTCAACAGGAGTGAAACATTCGTTTAGAACTTGAGTTTGGTGGGTTTTTGTATGATCCTCTCTCTGTGTTCGTAAGCCGGATTGTTCTCGGATCCATTACTTGCAATTCATTACTAAGAAAAAGGGCACTGTTCAACGCCAATGAAACACGAAATATAGCAGCGAGCAATGAACCAAAGGCTTGAGCAGCCCGAGCAGTAGCGGTAAGTTTGGTATTCATTCAGAATGCGGCCCACTCTTCGGAGAACGGGCCGAGTTTCCCTCTAGTTTCGTCCTCATCATCGCGGCTTTTTTCATCTATGTACATGGAGAACATGAGTTCAACAATAGGCTACTCCTTAGCTTATTAGCCATATCCATTCCTCCTCCCTTATCCACCTGTATGACTTTTTAGTAGACGATGAATATACGAAGCCCCGAATGCCATATACGCAGTGCACTCACTAGTGCACTGACCGCCTCCGACTCCGTCCTAGGCCAACGGTCATCCTCACCCAAGCCTCTATCCGCACTTTGTTGCGTCTCCTTGATAATTGATTCATCGAACGCGGAAGTATCGGATTTCATACAATACTTCAATCTTGCTCTGCAATAACCGCCGTCCTCACTCTTCGTTCACTGTCGCTCTATAGGATATCCTACCGGCGGGCTTCTCGCCTTCGAACATCTTTTGCAGCTGCGGGCAATGATCAAGATCTCTTTCTCATGATGACGACCACATCTCCCTGGGTATGACTTTCGACTCATTTGGTAGTGCATGCGATACTGATTAATATGTTCTCAACGGCGTCCATGATCGTCCAGATTCTTGAATGGCTCGTCTTTATCTTCGTAAGTCTTGGGCCGTTATTTGGTACTTACAAGTTACTACTGATTTTTCCTTTCTCTTTCCATACATTGTTTTTCCGCTATTAAAGCATTGAGTGGCTCGCCGCTTGATCATATTTTGAGCCTTGCAAGGGGTTTCCCTCGGATCTCCTAATAAACTGTGCATTCAGTTTCCGCTTTCTACTAAGGCCCTTGTGCGATCTTGGCCCTTCCCCATCATGTGCCCAAAAGAAAATCTTCAAGTCTTAGGCAAACCATTGTCTCGGGATCTTCAACTGATGATTTATACAGTCTATATTATACTGCACCGTCATATGGTCACCATACCTACCGTAAGATGCAACAAACACTGCACAGGTGCTGTCAGAAGATGCTTAAAACAGACACGAAAGCTTGGACCAGACCTGACGGTGAACTATTCAGGTTCTTGCTTGAAATTTCTGATTCAGGTAAGTTCCGTCCTCCCCAGTGCTCACATGCTTTGGTTCTAATGAAAGTCTTTGGTATATGAATCATAGTGCGCATTCATGCTATCGGTCCTCCTAACCGACGACCTTCCCTATCGACATCCACTGCTGAAAGGATTACTAAGGAATTCACCAACATATCTGCGATCATTGGGCTCTTTGCTGATTGGTGTCACCGTTATCGGGGTTTGGTATACCTTTTCTTGGGTTATTTTCCTTTGTCTGCCTATCATTATGGTTCTCGCTACTCGAGGAAAGGTTTCTCCAGATACTATAATATCCGCTGTTCACGATGTGCAAACTGCCAATACTGTAGCCTAAACATTTTGGTGATCGATCTTGGAAGTTATTGAATTCAGATTGAAACTCAAAGTACGGAGGATTGAATCCTACTATGGATGTATTTTTGGATGGTTAGATGACCGACGGAGAATGCAAGACCCGTATATATCATAATCCATGCTTTACCTGATCTCCAAATTTCTCTGAGCTCTACACCATCCTAATACCCACCTACTCACTGAAGACGTGACTTCCTAGGCCATTCAATGGACTTGATCACTCTTTTTTTCTCCTCAGTCTCAAACGGAAAGTCAAGAAGTTGAATGATATTTCATTTGACACGCGTAACCGTCAGTTCAACTCCGCCCCTGAACCTGACTATGGAAATGCTATAAAGGATGGGGCCTGTTGCGTACATTCCCTGTCACCCCACCCTCACCCACCCCCGTAGAGCTGGTCTCTTTTATTCACATCCCAACTCCCAAGACAAACGCCAAGGGCGCTGGTCGCCTTCCTCTTACCAATCACAAAAATCCTACGCAATGTACTTCTGCTCAGCACTTACAGCCGTCATTACGCTTGGGGCCGTTCATTCCGCTCTCGCTCTTCCCGTACAAGGTCCTCCAGGTTTTGGTCCTTGGGATGGTGCAGTGGGTGTCCCAGTCGCTCCTGGAATTCCTATACCGCCTGCAAATATTCCTGGGCCTCCGCTTCATGGTGATGAGCAAGTTCTCGTCACCGTTGAAGAGAATTTGAGCCATCTTTCGGTGTGTTTCGTTCATTGAATTTGTGGGTATAATTGGTCCTGATTGATTTCTTTGTTGTAGGCACATCTAGCCTACCACCCCAACGTCAGTAGATAATTTTTGCTTCAGTCCGTCATTCTGAAAAACTTGTTAGCAGGATGATCAGTATACCCCATATCAGGAAACCGTACCTTCGCTTATTTCTGTGCCTGTCAAAGTTGGACCTATGCATGCAGGACCTGAGGTGCGTCAACTACCCATAGACCTGCTCCCATCTAAGGAATATTTCAGATGTTTGAGGACCAACTGCTGATTGAGGAAAACAGGGCCATCGATGTCGAGGGTCCTTTTGCCAGGGGCCTTATGAAAAGAGATATTGGTGAAGCCGATGATAAACTTCCCCCTGGAACGACGCACCAGAATCAGTTACATACTCGGGGTTCCACAAAGATTACAGCTACCTTGACCGGCGAAGGTCGCAGACAACCTACACTAGTCCAAAGCGCAGCCAGAAACTCCGTTGAAGACTTGTTGAATGCAAAAAAATTGGAACTAAATATAGTGGGGGACCTTGAAGTGACAGTCGAAGGCACCTTCAAATGTTCTACAACGTCGGCCGATGTACCATTCAAGTTCTCGGTTGGCGGTAAGAAATATACTGGGGTTGCAAGGGGACAAGGCGAGGGCGAGATCACGAGGAAACGTTCATAGGGAAGTAGTAAGCTTGCATGTATACGTTGCAAGAATGAATGAGGATATCTAGTTTTTGGTTATGAGCCTGAACGAGAGTTGGGCGTTTCACTGATAGAGATTCACACGCTCTTCATCCTGCTCTTCGATGTTCAAATATTTCGCTCTGCTCTCAAGAAGTCACAAATCAAAAAGCACAAGCTAGAATAATGTGAGTCTCGTGGCTTATATTATCTATTGAATTATTACATGGCCGACGCCGTCGACGTAACAGGCCTGTAACAGGCATCCATGTTCTTCTCGCGAAAAGTTATAACGGAAAATGACCTGGTTGATCTTCATGGCAAGGTAGCGCTTGTGACTGGTGGAAAGTAAGTGCAACTATTCGTTAAGTGTACTCTGCTAACCGAACCGAATGATTTAGCACTGGAATCGGCTATGCTACGATCGAATTCCTGGCTCAGAAAGGTGCCAAGGTGTATATGGCCTCCAGAAATGAAGAGAAGGCGCAGAACGCTATCAAGGAAATTGAAGCCAAGTTATGGAAGAGTAGTGGAGAGGGAGAGAACAAGGGAAGCGTTCATTGGTTCAAGCTCGAGTTGTCGGATCCGCGTTCAGTGAAGGAGGCTGGGACGGAGTTTTTGGTGAACGAAGAAAGATTGGATATTCTCGGTGAGTAACAGGTATCTTTCCTTCGAAACCCAACCATTCTCAATCTGTCTTTGTCGTAGTGAACAATGCCTCTCAGTAAGTTCTTGGGTTTGATGACAGCTGCCGGAATACTGAGTACGGATAGTGCTGCGTTTGGTCCCTATAAGCTCAACGAGGATGGTCTCCTGGATGTCATGGTCGTCAAGTATGCACTCGTCGCTGTTTGCATTGAATTTCTGCACGCTAAAACTGTCTCCAATTTACCTGCAGTTATATCAGCCACTTTGTTCTTACCGAAACTTTGCTTCCGCTTCTCAAACGTACGGCAGCTCTCGAGAATTCAGATGTTCGCATTGTCAATGTACGATCTCCATTCCCACTGAAATATCTGACTAAAAATCGTTCTTATAGCTCTCCTCGGTCTCTCACACCCTCATGAAACCGGATTCGTTCGTCGGAAAGGACAGTATCAATAAGCAATACGGCGATTCCATATCTGGTCATCTCCATACCTATGGTACGCCTCCTCACTTATCGCCATCTATTGTCATTAACCTCAATCCTCAACTCTCCAAATTCTTAGAAAACACCAAACTCGCGAATATTCTTCATCTAAAACACCTCCAAACACGTCTCAACGCCGAATCAGCAGGTATTACATGTCTCGTGGTCCACCCAGGCGCTGTAATGACTGTCGGCGTCACCGGTTTCTTCCAATCCATCCCGTTCGTTGGATGGTTCCTCAAAACCTTCCTCGCCCCGCTGTTTCTCGTGTCGTGGAAACAAGGAGCTATGACTTCGGCGTTTGCAGCTGCTGGGAAGGAAATTGCTGCTTCTAGAAAAAGCACGGACGAGGCCGAGAGGAAGAAGTATGAGGGTGCGTATTTGACGCCTATAGCGAATATATCGGAGCCGTCGACGTATGCAAAGGATGAGAGGCTACAGCGGGAGTTGTATGAGACGACGATGGAGGTCCTGCGAGAGGTAGGAGTTGTGTCGTAGCTTATTCCCGTACAAATGTATTACCAACTTCGGACCTTTCGATGGGTACTGTTCATTTGTGCGTTAGTATTACGTTCACCTTCAACGTTTAATGTCGACAGTGTGTTATTTGAATAGATCCAACTCAAAACCAACATCCCGAGGAGTTCAGGGATCTGCATTACAAGAGACTCGCATCCTTCCCGACTTTAGACCAGTTGGCCAAAGCCGCTAATAACCATACTACGACCAATAACTGTGCAATTAAAGCAAATTACCCGAAACTAAGGCCATTTCTGTACGAGTGTTTTCGTCCGTAGTCCCTGCATATACTTGTATATGTCGGCAATGTTGCTCTCGAGCAGAACACCCCCCGGGTTGTACTTGCAGAGCCAGGTTATGTACTTCCTCAAAGTCACCACGTCATCCGTGGTCAAGTTTTCCAAACCGACGAGGGATATTTCGTGCTCCCCAGTGGCGTCTTTGTAGGTCATGGTCTTTGCCTCGGTGAGCTCCTTGCCCTCCGCACTCTTGCCCTTTTTACCCGCTCTTTTCAACACCATACCGACTGAAGACCCATCGATATGACGGGCCAATCTGACTTTGTTCCTCACCTGCACGTAATAAATCAGCTTGGATAAAGTGTTACCAAGTCAAAGCAGACTCACATCCAAATCAATACCCTCAGTCTCCTTGCCGACGACAAGTCCGTCAAGAGGTTGATTGAACCCCATATTAGGAGCACGCACTGGAGTTGTGATGATGTTCGACTTCAAAATACCGAGAGCAGTTGGTGTCGCATTGTCCTGTGTATAGGAAGATCTTGGAGGGCCTTGGACAGGGATAGCGAGGACAAAGGACACAACCCCAACAGCGATGATACCTGCAAGTACAGAGGGGGAGTGAATCATCGTAGTAAGAATGCGCGTGAGATTCGAGAACAGTAGAATAGATCTGGAAGGTATCGGAAAATGTCAAAGGCAGCTAATTTTCAAAGGTCGAAAGGTGAAAGGTGAAAGGTGAAAGGTGAGAGACCAGCTCTGTTGGGAAATTCGAAGGTAGCGATATCATCTCTTTATATGTTGCTCTCTCCCTGCCATTTTTACGTGAACCATCATCCGACGGCAGTCTCCCGCTAACGTTTCGAGGAATTCTCAACCCGAACTTGACCTCCCAGGCTGTACACCATACACTCAGGTACGCAGAGGTACGCGCTGGGTATACCGCGCAGTATGTATTGCTTTTTTATGCCGCTGCATACTGCTACCTACTGCTACCAAATTAAGTACGACTTTGGTCTAAATTATCGGCAAACGTGTACATATTGCCTGGTGTGACTGCCTGACAGTGCTGGGCAGCGCTTGGGATGATGGCACGGCATTGTCAAGGCGCACTTTGCCTACTTTGCTCACGAAGTAGTATAGTGAGCTGATTATATACCCTTGAGATCTTCTCTTCAGGCAGGGCACCCCCGGAACTCGTACATTCCGACGTAATGAACTCCTTCAAAGCTTGTTGCCCGGCTGGATTCAGTTTTTGCACCCCAACCAACTTTATGGTATGATCAAACCCTTTGGTGTCTTTGTAAGTCAGTTCTCCTGCTTCGGACAACTCCTTGTCACCAACACTGTTACCCGCCCTCCTCGACAACTCTCTGAGAGGAGATTCGCTGATATCAAGGCTCAATCTGACTTCTTCCTCCACCTGCAAGTGAGGATGAATAACAAATGAAGGAACTTGACAGGATGCTGAATGAAGGGAATAGGAGCTTACCGGGTGGGGGGAACCTAGCTGCTCAGGAAGGACTTTGACATGGGCAGGAATAATTTTGTCGTCGTGGTGATAATGCTAAGAAAAATTATTGAGGACTTGACCAATGAAACATCGCAACGGCACTGACATTATAGCGGAAATCATCATGTTCTTGGTGCTTGAGAAAAAATTTGCTCAATGTCGGAGACCAGGAAAAATGAAATGCGACATACCCAGTAAGGCTCTTCTCCGGAATCGATATCGATATCCTCAGCCTCCTCACCAACGATAACACTGCGTCTATAGACTGAATTGATAGGTGCTGGCGGAGGGATGAAGTTCGTCCTTGGCACTCCAGGAGTGCTTGCTGCATTTTCCTGCGTAGAGAATACTCCAGCAGCACCCTGGATAGGGATAGCAAGGGCAAACGAAGTGACTGCAATAGCGACTAGAGCTGCGAGCAAAGATTGAGAGTGGACCATTGTGGTAAGAGCGCTCGTGAGATTCAGGACTGTGAAAGGGATACGGGAAGGTACCACAAACGAAAATAGATTTGAGGTGAGAGAGAGACCAGCTCTTTTTGGGGAATCTGAAGGTGCAAAACGCGGCACTATATATTATACGTCGGCGGACCATCCGAGTCTCGATGTTGTGGTGTCTTTGTAACTTTGTTCATCATCCAGCAGTTGTACGCTACAGACCCTGACAGACCCTTGACCATCCTTGTGATGTATTTAACAACCAGGCTGTACACCACACGTCTAGGTACGCGGCGCATATTACTTTTCCAGAGGAGTGCAGCGTAGCTTGACAGTGGAAACCGATAACTGCTCCCGATTGTTTGTATTTTCAACGACCATTCGAAGGTGAATAAATCTGATTAAATGGGAGGAACTGCAGCATATCGTTTGCAAAGGAACTGGGACAAGCCCCAGCGATTGGGATTTCCTGTAACGGGATATTTGCTGCGCTAATATTGCGGATGGCTTAGGTGAGCTGCGATCACTGTTGAGCACTGGCGAAGGTGAGGATGTGTGATGACCCTGGAAGGTTGAGACGACGGTGTGGGACCTATTGGCTCCTATTGGCTATGTAGGAGATGCAAGAATACAAACTGCCTCCAGAAGACTATATATATCGAATGCGTGGATAATTGGTCTGAAACAGATCTGAAACATTCAAAAAAACAGACATTAATGAACGTACATCCTAACCTAATGACAATTCTCCTTCAACAATCATGCCATGAGACGGAGAGGTTATAGTACGATTATTGTAATGATTGACCAGGCCTGGTTTCTGAATCCTATATTCTTTCGAATTACCGAGTATGATTTCAGAGTACATACTAAAGAAAGATACAAGATAGTATGACTGTCACTGCGGACTCGGACCTGGGACTTAAGGAAATTGTCGGGCTCCCTAAGCTTTACACGTGCGAAAGCTTAACTTAGCCGTGTTTGTATGTGAACAGGGGAAAAAGCAAGATAAAGAAGAGCGAAATACCACCCGGCGAAGGGAAAAGTCGGACAGTTATTCAGTAGGTATAAGTCTTCTCAGTTACCAATGCATCATCATCAACTGCCTCGCTCAGACCAAAGCCCCGGGCTATACTTCTCCGATTCCAGGTCGTGGATTCTTCAAGAGCTCACTCCCCGAGCCCCCAAACAATGCTGTTACAATCTCCGATTGCAGGAACTTTCTTTACTAAGAGCAATAGTATAGGGGTTACACACAATGTAACTGGACCCGTATTAGTATTACTCAGTGAATGAACCAAGTGTTGAATATGTACGCGTTCAATCCTTGTTCTTTTCACCCATGTCAAAAACCTTATCTATAGCCAAGCTGCCTAAGACCACCTCCGTAGAATTAGCTTTTCTTTTCTAACGCGATATGATGCAGTCCTAGTGTGGAATTCAAGTGATCATCGAGCCATCTTCGGAGTTTGGTTGTATAAAATTATGTATATCCCATGCATACTCTTGCATGCTGAAGTACCAGTAAGTTCTCATATACCCCGGCGAAGTATCATTTGTTCCTGATTCGTTCATGATTTGATCCTTGTACGTGCGGGAGAGTGAATGAAAAATCTTCCAAGAAGCACACAAGTGTCATTTCATCTTTCTTGTTAGTAAGGATCCAACGGTGGAGTAATGCGGTCATTGCTGTAATCAAGTAGGGATGTGTTCTCTCTGAATATACAAGTGCGGTCCGACTTGAGTATATACATAATCCGTATCGAGACGCCGAGACTGACTCCGGGTCCCTTCGCTAGATAACAGAAGATTTAAGCCGTCGTTACTTACAGCCAAAACAGAGTCTCATCTCCCTCCTCTCCTTACCCCTCAGACCTCTTCCTTTCCAGAGATCCGAGAAGTAAATCATCCGTAAATTCTGTTTGGTTCTTCGTTGTTCAGTTCTATCGGGGTAGCAGGATGCCCACCACGCATATCCAGCTCTGTTACTTCGCTGCCTCGGATGCTTTCATCAAGAACGGGGCCCTATTCATGCGGGGTCTGTTACGAGCAACGGTGTTAACAACAGGGAATACAAAGTAAGGGGAAATTTCATTTGAGTGGCATTCACCTTTCAAAAGCCTTAGTGGTACTCACATTTTCTCCAAGTGCATATTGGGGTGTACAGGAGGAACCTGGCTGGGAAGGAGTAAGAGCAGGATACCTCATCACTGGTATGTTTCGATTTCCGTTTCCTCAGTAGAGTACTGTACTAGTTCTTTGATCAGAAGTTTCAACTTGTTGGATGAATTCAATATTGATGAATTTGTGATAATTTTGGCATGATAGCATGGCACTCCCAGGGAGACTATGATAAATACCAGAACAGCGATGCCTCTGATATGACTATGAGGCTTCTGAAGGAAGTTGCTCTTGGTGAGATTACTTCGCACTTGGTAAGTAGAGGCTTTAGGAATCTTTGGTTGTCAGTAGAAAAAGAAGCGAATGACGATTTGCTGTAGTTCACGCTGGGTGTTCAGGAGTCAACCACGATCCCCACATTGACTTTTCGAGCAAAACTCACTGAGTTTGTGCTTGCGTCGCCTAAAAAGGGAGTACCGAGAAAGGTGTTGAAGAGGGCCATTGGCAGGGTTTGTGAAGTTTTGGATGAACATGGACATACAGCCATGATTGGAGAGAATGTGACTGACTCGATAGAGGGCGAGGGAGTTGAGAATGTGTATGTGATTGTCATTGGGTGGCCTGCATATGAGGTGTGTTATTCATTTGACTTTTGGAATTCAAGAAAGATTTGACAACACCGGGACAACACTCGCCTGTAGATCATGGACAAGAAACCATTTGTGACACCCATTGATGAATTGTCATCATTTGCTGATTTAAGGTTCTGGCATGTCCCATTTGACACATACACAAGCCGACTATGAAATTTGGAGTTAATGTAAACATAAGGAAATATGGACAGATGGACAGATAGATAGATCATGCCAAATTGTACAAAGTGTGTTGTTTGTTTGACATGAAATAAAAGATATCAATGTACCATTTGAATTTGAAACATAGTCAGCCTCAAGAAAAAGTGGTATGAGTGGCTCAGGCTGAATATTGGGCTAAGCGGTAGTAATGTCCCCCGTCCGATGTAATTTTGGGTTTACCGTTTGGGATTGGGATGGGGAAGTGTAGTAGACGGCCTCGCGGAGAAACGGGGCCGGGGGGAAACGATGTGGTCTGTCTGGGTAATAGTTCAGGCGGGCAAGGATTCCACGGGAATATTTGCTCATTCATGAGATAAAGCCTGAGGGGAAAATGATTAGTACGAATTGAACGAATGATAAGTTGAAGTTTACTGTCTGATTTCACTACTCCAAGTTCCACTCCTCTCCCAAGTTCCCCTTCCTTCCCCACCACCACTAGCCGTCACCATCACCATCACCATCTACTACTATCATCTGGGGTGATAAATCTAGGTACTTCCTTTTGATCAATGAATGAGTGATAGTTATTTACCTTTCTTTAAACCAACCACCTTCTCAAAAACCGCAAAAAGCGTTCGGATCAAGACCCGTATACGAAGATTGACGCTGACCACCTGAGTCCCTCTTCTGAACATTGATGGTCTACAATTTTACAATATTGAGCTTCAATGACGAGGAGGGGGAAGAGGATGAGGGGGGCGAGAGAGTGTTCGTTATTTCGTTTGCTGGGAAGGATTGTTAGGCTCATGAGTATCAGGTGTATTGAAAGGGAGAGGGGACTCGGAGATGTGATGATACATACCTTCAATGAATTCTGAATTCGATAGCACAGACATGATTAGTGAATCATTATCCCAGTGATTCTATGTATGCACAGACCCCAGAGGCACAGCATTAGACACACTGTTCATGCACAACTGCCCAATTTCCCATAAGCCGCCTCAATATATAATCCGAATCGCCTTGATCCACCCTCCTAAGTCCTAGGCGTATCCTCCGGACAATTGTTCTAACGAACGGTCTTGATTCCCATCCCAGTGTACAAGTTGAAGTGTATCAGTGTATCAATAACTCAAGGGGTATCGAGATGAGATGAGTGATGCCGATGGGTGTAGTGTAGTGTGACTGTCCGACTGTGGTGGTGAGGATGATGGCAGAGTCAGTCATGGACTGAGGGTTAACCCTAAGTATATACAATCCAAAGAAGCAAGAAGGTTCAAACCTTTGGGATAGAACGAACTTTGGGAACACGCCAATGGCCATGACACCACACTACACCACATGACAAGATTTGAGTGAAGGGAGGTGTTCATTTCCGCATTCTATGTGGAAAGGAAGGGGGTAAACAGTGGGGGGGAGTGTGGCGAGGGAGGGGAGAAGAAGGGGAATCTCATATAAAGGGAGGTGCTCATGTCCGTATTTTGTGAGGAAAGGGGGTGAGGAGGGGGAGTGTGGGGAGGGGAGGAGTGGGGATTCTGATTCTGGTTTTCAATGTGTAAGGTTAAGATGTACTGTATATGTGGATAGTGGATGACTGGAAGATGAGGAAAGGAAGGGTAGATGAGGAAAGGAGGGGAAGGAAAGAAGACGACAGAGGAACGACTGAAGCATGGAATATCAGGTGGAATGATTTTAAATAAATGATGAATATGACCTTGGATCACTTAAGAGACGAATTTTTCGCTGAGTGGAGGGAAAGGAATCGACACTCATATCTTCACTCTCTCTGGGACTATCTCCACTCTGAGCTCAACCAGAGACATTTCAACAAATGTCTTCTCGCCGGATATTGCGTATCCATCGGGTCTGTTAAATGTGCATTCTTCCTACTATTGGGTAGCTAAATTTATGTAGATGTGACTTCACTTTTCAGCCATCACAGCGACGGCTTCTTGGTAGAGTTTTTGGATGATGCTCTGTGACAAACATTAGAGCGTAAATGAGTACGAAAAGTCTCGCTCGTACCTGGGTGCTCTCTTTATCGTTTATGGAGGCAACGGCATCCCCAGCCCAGATAACAAGTCTGCCAGAGTCACCATTGGCTTTACTCTGATCATGCCTTTTGAGCCGCTCGTCCAACGACAACCCCTCCTTCTGATCCTGGACAATATCGTTAACAATGGCTCTCCCGTCGATACCCTCAGGCCACATCGCAGTTCGGTTAACCTCGTCAAAGACAGTACTTCGGATGGTGCACGATAGTTTGGAGTTGAGGAGAACCTCTTTCGTTTGGTCGGGATACATACATTCTGGGGTACAGAGCAAGCGGGAACCAATGACGACGCCGTCTGCGCCGTGTTTTGTGAGGAAGGAGGCTATTTGAGTTCCGGTAGAGATACCGCCCGCAGCTAGGACGACGGGGCGAGATGCGGAATCGGGGATTGCGGTTAAAACTGACGGGAGAAGAGTTTGTAGAAAAGGTGCATCGCCTCGTCCGTGTCCACCTGCTTCGTTCCCTATTATATACCCTGTGTTAGAAAGCGTGTAAAGTCCGCCAGCACAACGTACCTTGGACAACAAGGACATCGACTTTCCACTCCTCCACAGCGCGTTTGGCCTCGTCGATGTTATTCACGATGACAAATATAATCGTCTTGTGATCCCTGTTCTCATCGTATGCTCTTACCTTTTTCACGTATTTCCCCAGATCAACGCCAAACGCGAACCAGATGGCTTGAGGACGTTCAGCGAGGACAGCTGGGATCCGTGGATCGTCGGATTCTTCGGTCATATCCAGGATCCACCCGAGGAGTCCTACGCCCATGGGAACCGGGGATTCTGGGGGTGTGTTGAGGATTGAACGCACCGCTTGGATTTCTTTGATCAGAGTCGTTGACGGTGTGAATCCTGTGTGTGTTGTCCGAAGATGAACACGTGTACTTCTTTACGGTACTCTTACTTTACACACCTGCTGCGATGAACCCGAATGCACCTGCGCCAGTTGCTGCAGCTGCCATTTCAGGTGTCGATGCATAATACATCGGCGCTGATACAATCGGTATCTTCGTACCTGTATCAAGTCTCAACTCCCGTCTATCTACCACTTTGTTAGAACTCACCGAGAAGCGTAGTCAGCTTTGTCTTCATCGATGCCATTGGTTTCAGTTTAGTAGGTCTAGTTTTGAGGGAAAGGAACGCGTTTTCAAGCTAAAATATAAAACTTCTTTCCATTTAGCCATTTCCGGCTCATCATATACGCCCAAGATCTGTCCGAATAATCCGAGTCTACTTACCACCAACCTGCCACCAACTTCCCCTTTCTGCCCTTTCTGCCTCGCTTTTCGCGTATTATCGACCCTACTGATTAGTGTCGATTCTCTCCCCCGGGCCCCATGTCTCACCGCCGGATATTCCTACTGTCACGATAAAAAAACTGGTAGCTTGGCTACACAATTTTTTATGTTTGTCATCATCATCGATAATCAATCATTTGGGTTTGGCAGTCACCATCGCATGTGAACGTAAACCGGTAGGCACGCCCATTCGCGATTGAGGTGAGCAAAAGTTGACAAGTGATATATGTACACTGTAAAAGCTAACTGTACCCCCTTCGTGAATCTCAGAAGTAAGTATGTACTGTACTTACGGAGACAGGTGGATACCAAAACCCATGCGATACGAGGCGATACGTCGATACCCAATTTAATTGGTCACGCTTAGTGACCCCCGCCGTCGGGGGAGGAGGAAAGTATCCACCCGAAGAACTTGAGTTCAAACACTTGATATCTGATCCTCATGCACAAAGGCCTGAGGACAGACATCGCGCCTCACCGCGAAGGTCTGCTATGTAACAAAAAACAAAAACGAAAAACACTATCAAATCATCAGAAGATGTCAGAAAGCAATATCATATATTGAGGGGTCCCAAGTCAACCGCTAAAAGAGCCTGCAGGGTAGGGTTTTAGCTTCATGATCGTCGTCTAGGTCGTCGTTACGATATTTTCGGGGCGGTTGTTGGAAGACACAAGAGAGTGTCGCGATTACAAATTATAATAAGAGAGAGAGAGATCCAGAGGGTTCGTATTACCAGCCTTCAATCCCTCTCTTATTCTTTCTTCTTGTGACCCCCTCTCCACTTGACTCCCCTCCCTGATACTCTATACATAGATTGCTAGTAGAGACTTTCGAGATCATGGGTCAACTCTCCCTCGCAAAGACGTTCCTTATAGCTCCCTACGTCGAGGCATGTCATTTTCATTTTTTTTGTGAATCGTGAAAGTATAAAAATTTATCTGACTCTCCTTTACTTTTCCAGGCTATAGTCTATGGTTCGTGTTCATGATCGACCCCCTTCACCTGAAAAAAAAGAAATCGTTGCTTACTTCATCTATCTCCTCACCAAAAAACAGGATTCTTCGTCGCGATCTACTGTACCACCCTCTACATCCACTTTTCAAATGTCAGCGGAACCCAACACGGTGATCGACACGGTAACGTGAGTTGTGAACTTGAGACCGTGCGGGACTCTCTAATGAACGAAGCCTGCTTTTTTCTTTCTTTTTTATCATAGGTTATGATCGGGATCTCGTCCCTCATGTTCTTCATCGCAACTTGGCATCTGATAATGAACGCATACCGGATGGTCGAGGGATACGTCGACTACGCTCTCGCTCCCGGTGGTGCAGTGGCGTATATCGGGAATTTGGTACCCTGGCATCACATCCTCAAGGACACACTTTATGCTACGCAAGAGATTCTCGGTAGTGCTGCAGCTGTTAGTTGTCCCTTCGATCTCACTTCTCGTAACACATCCTTATCGTACCCCTCCTCATTTAGATATACCGCTGCTGGGTACTCTGGGGCCACAATTGGAAGATCATCCTTTTCCCCTCGACGTTACTAATAGTTAACACCGGTATGTGTCATACCCATCCCATAAACTTGCTCTCCCTTCTGAAACCCCCCTTCCCTAGTCGCCGGATACATGGTGTGCGGGCTATACAGCAAAGTATCCCCAACCGACACCGTATTCGCATCTAGCCTCACCGTCTGGATCAAGATCTTCTACACCCTCGCTGTCGTGCTCAACATCATCACCACCTCCCTCATGGGATACCGCATCTGGTCGACCCACCGTCAATCATCGCGCTTCGCCACTGGCCACAACAACAGCCGACTGCTTCCAATCCTGAGAATCCTCGTCGAGTCAGCGGCGCTGCAGCTGATCATTGAGATCGTCCTGTTGGCTTTATATTGTTCGGATATCAACGCGCAGTATATTTTACTGGAGAGCGTAGCCTCGATCGTGGTAAGTCGGAAAAAAAAACTTTGCTCGATATCGTGACGGTTTTGTGTTGATGGTGTCATCTCTTCCCCCAGGGTATAACGTTCAATGCTATAACCATCCGCATCAAGTTCCAGAGCATCCGCAGCGCCGCGAGCAGGAATATCTCCAGCAACGGGGCGATGCACACCGTCGGGAGCATGCCGATGCGCCATATTCAAGTGAACATCGCGAAAGACGTGGAGGAAGGGGATGATGGGCTTGCGTATTCTAAATCGAATAGCGAGCCTTAGGGTTTGGGGGGGTTGGTGGGCGTTAGAGACCTTGGTGGTCGGTGAACGTTAGGTAGGGGTCTTGGTGGAAGTGTTCAAGTGTTTGTATAATTAAATTATACATATAATTGTTGTTACGTTGTTACATTGTTGTTAAAAGTACTACACGAATTTCGGAAACCTGGCCTTCAATTCACCATGCTTGTGGGCTTCTCGTACTACATAGACGTCTTCCTCTCCGATGCCAACGAGCAATACTCAAATGCGCAATGGTGGATCTTTGCATGCCACTGAGCTCTGGGTCCGAGCTTCGGAAAGTCCTGAAATACCTCGACCGTTTTACGTTGCCACGTAAAACTCACTTTGAACACGCTTCGAAGCTGAGGGTTTGTTCTCACTCCTTGACCAACATTTTTTGGTAAATAGACTAAGAGATGAGATCGATGAGAGTCTACATAAGTTAAAGAGCCCAAATATATACTCATAAGTAAGCAACTAAGCAATAAAACAGTAAAAGCTCATCAAAGATCAGAGGGTCCAATAGGACATCTCGTGTTGGTCTTTGAGAGCCGACTCCAAATGCACATCTCGAGGCTCGAACCTTAATCTAAACGAAACTGGCGTTCTTCCTGAATTCCCTTCGTATTCTTCGAGAGAGATCGGTTCCTCTGGCAGGGAGTGGAAGTTGAATGACCAGAGTAATTGAGAAATAGCGAGCCAGAGCTCCCGCTCTGCTACATGTATCCCGGGGCAAATTCGTCGCCTAAGGCCGAAGCAGGTAATTTAGTGAAAGCTTGTACATGAGGAAGGGAAGGACGTACCCAGCTCCGAAAGTCCAATGATCACGGTTCATCACATTCGGTAGTTTCGCGGACTCTGCGCAGCTCAACTCGTCTTCCACATATCGATCAGGGTTGAATGACCAGCTTTAAGAGGTAAACCACAGTCACAGTCAAGACGCTGCGTCCGAAATGGGAAGAAGGGGGACTTACGGGTCTTCATATCTCGCCGAGTTGTGATGGAGAGTGTAGCAGTTTAGAACGACAGCAGTACCTTTGGGGATGTATTGTCCGTTGTAAGTAAAGTCCTCTGTAGTGCAATGCGGCGTGGCCATCCAGAATGGTGCGTGTACACGTTGTACCTAGGTGAAACAAGGATTTAGCAATACTACATAAAACGGGGTACACCCTCGAAGTGTCTTTTCTCACCTCTTTTATGATCGCTCGTACGTAGGGAAGATTCGCTTCATCTTCTGCCGTAGGTAGTCTATCTCGTCCTACTACCCGATCCAATTCCTCTTGAGCTCTCAGAGCGACTTCAGGATGGGACGGTATGAGTGCGAGGAACCATTGGATGATGCCAGATATCTAAAAGAACAATGAGGAACGGTCAGAGCTACCGCAAATCCAAGCGCGGTATTACGCACAGAATGCACACCACCAAGTGTGAAAACCGCGGAAAGCATACATAAATCGTCCCAGTCCAGTCTCTCCTTCTTCTGATCCTGGATCAGAGTCTTGACGAAACACTCGGGAACATACTCTCCTGCGTCAAGTCTGTCCTTTAACCGCAGAATCATGCTACCGTACACGTCGATGAGATCCTGTTGAAGTTTAAGACCTCGCTTGTGCAAGGTAGATGGAAGCCATTGTAAAGGCTCAAAAAAGTCGACGGGGTTGGACCAAACACCTAATGAGACAACATTATGAAAACTATATATCGAACACAAATGATTTTACAATACACGTACCCGTCAAATCGTTAAACTCCATCGCAAGCTCGAGCGCTCGGGATATCAACGGGTCTTCGATATTCGCAGTTCGGATCCCGAACGAGATGAGGAGCATATTGCTAGTTAGGGGGGAAGTCAGGTTTCATGGGAATCTGCTACGATTTGTGGGACCCTCACTTTAACGCGAAACGGCCTACGTAGTGTTGAGGACTGAGAGGCACTTTGCCGAATTGCCCATCATCTTTCATCGTGCGTATCATTATGTGCGCTTCGTAATTGAGGCTGTCGATGTATCCCTCGATCGCTTTGGGCGTAACCACCTGAGTGACCAATTTCCGGTGGTGTCTCCTTCCCAATCCCAACAACGGCAGTCTCACAATAAGGTTGATTAAAAATTAATAAGGACTCACCAAGTTTCACCATACTCCGAAGCGGTAATCGCTTTCCCATGAAGGATCGTCCGGCTTTTGATAAAATACCTTTTTCGGGAGGAAAAAATAGCGCCGTTCGTTACCAGCAGATCCCTCGCGACGTGCGGGTCGGAGATCACGACAAACAGCTGAGACCCCATCCAGATGGAGAATAGAGGTCCGTATTTCGCGGCCCAGGTTTGGAGTGCGCGTTCAGGATATTTTTTGAGGAATAGGTAGCGGGTGGTGGGACCGGGAGGGATGCGGGACCCATTTGCGTCACGGATAAGTGGGCGGAGGAGTATCGGACTGATCATCCAGAGAGTAAATACAAAGGAACTGATGAAGAAGAAACAACAGATCTACAGACAAGACGATGAGCAAAAGGCGATACCCACAAGAAAATGTGATCGAGATGTTGCTTTACGAAAGACAGACGTACCTCAACGAGGGGAACCCTTGGGAAAGCCATTTCTAACGAAAGTTCTCTGCACTGGAGACGGACAGGTTTTTTTTTGAAGCGAAAAGTAGAATCGAGTACAGCTGAGGGGACGAGGTGTAAGATAGGAATGCGAAACAAACGAGATCTTGCCAAGTTATGCGTTATTTATCGGACTCTGCCTATCGAGTTATCGAGCATCTTTTGACTCACCTTTTTTTTCTTTCTTTTGCCTTCCCCTCCAAGAACCGAAAATTCTTTGCCAACCAGGAACATCCCAGGAACTCGATGAATACACTGTACAGCTTGAACTGTAGTCCGAACGCAGTTGTTTATGGCATATCTGGGGGGTTCTCAGATTCGCGCCTAGTTCTGTCCTATCCTGTCCTACTAGGTCCTACCACTGTCCCTACCCCGTCGTCTTTGTCTCATCCTCATCCTGAGTCTCATTCCTTCGGATCTCTTAGCTGCACTCTGCTTGACCGTGATAGTCCGTAACGCTCCGCAACCAGCCGCAACCCTTGTTGACCCAGATCCAAACAGATCTTCCTTCGGAACCATATGCACCTGTTGCATCCGAGATCTGCAGGAATTACATGAAATATTCGATTCTAAATTAACGGAATCAGAGGGAGCCTATCGTGGGTACCTCCTGGTATGTTCTCGTGGTTTTCATGATCAATAGTCTATAGTTATTCAGTGCGCTAAAAAACTGTCCTCACCTCGCTATATTTCCCCGAGAGTGGGTAAATAGGATAGGATGGGATAGGATAGGGGCAGATGTTCAAGAGCACACATACATAGGAGAGCGTAGGTCATATATCCTGTCGCCGATGGAATGTAACGGTGTGAGCTTTATTTGCCTCCTTTGCCAGATTCGTCATTTTCAGATTTCCGATATATCCGTTGGACATCCCTTGAGTTAGGAAACCCCTTCAAGTTTCAAAGCAAGCAAAGACAGAGAAGGTTATTTACCAGACCGTTCGAGCTTTGGAAAGTCTTCCTGTCCAGACAAGACGAAAGTTGATTCTGTTGGACCTTGTTGGACTTGTGCAATCATCCGTCATTGACACTAAAAACTGTGAAATGTCAAACCTGCCCTTGATTTTCTTACAGTTTCAGGAGGTTTCGAGAAGTTTCAATTTTCAAAACTGTTGGAGCAGGTCCGCGAGATTCACTGAATGAGATTTTTTTCTTGAGTCGAAATCGCTCTCAACGTAACCAGACGTAACCGTATAAGACCGTATAGCCTGACCTTTCTGATGGCATGATCCTGACATTATGAATATTATCCATCCACTAGTCCCGGCGCCCCGACCTAATCATCGCCTATCATCGCCGACTCATATCCTGCCTATATTCCTCTGTATTATGCACTTCTAGTACCTCGTCAAGTCCTTCTGAACCTCCTAGAAACAAGTTTTAAAAAGGTACGTAAGAGTGTTGAGGGTAAGGAGCGATACCGTTGAGTTCCAAAGATGCCACTGGCACTAGGGCAGAGCACGAAATAACGCTCGTTGAGTGGGATAGATTGACATCAGACGACAAAGTGGCCGCGAAGAAGCATATAACCTGAATTTGTCGGCATAGTCCGGAGGGGGGGGGGTGTCCTATTTGAGAGAAACTATGAAGATATGTATAGAAGGACTACGACTTGTACAGAAATGGCCTTAGGCTCGTTCCAAGGGGACGTGTTGTTTCAGTTTCGATATCAGCGGCTTTCGCGAACTGGTTTGAAGTTGGAAGGGATGTGAATGGGAATTGTTCGTAGTGAACTGGATGCCAACTTGAAGGTTCGTTAACACATCATTGACATTGAACGCGTTAACATTGACGGACAAATGGACAGTACCAATTGGAAGGTCCCAAGAACGCTGATGAACTACGACACAACCTCCATCTCCCGCAAAACTTCCATCGTCGTCTCATACAACTCCCGCTGTAGCCGCTCGTCCTTCGCATACACCGACGGCTCCGATATATTCGCTATAGGCGTCAGATACGCACCCTCATACTTCTTCCTCTCGGCCTCATCTGTGCTTTGTCTAGAAATAGCAATCTCCTTCCCAGCAGCTGCGAACGCCGAAGTCATCGCTCCCTGTTTCCACGATACGAAAAAGAGCGGGCCAAGGAAGGTTTTGAGGAACCATCCGAAGAACGGGAAGGAGTTGAGGAAGCCAGTTGCGCCTACGGTTCTTACAGCGCCTGGGTGGACGGCGAGGCAGGTTATACGTGCTGATTCGGTGTTGAGACGGGTTTGCAGGTGTTTCAGGTGAAGGATGTTTGCGAGTTTGGTGTTTCCTGGGTGGGAAGGAGTTTGGAAGAAGTTCGGGAAAGGAGATGAAGGGGGAGACGCACCATAGGTATCAAGATAGCCGAACACGGAATCACCATATTGTCTATTCAAGCTCTCCTTTCCAATGAACGAATCCGGTTTTACACGGGTGTGAGCGAGAGAGGATACCTGCAAGATTCAATATAAGATTAACCGTAGGAGACAAGAACGAGTAACGGGATCGTACGTTGACAATACGGACATCTGAATCCTCGAGAGACGCAGTACGTTTAAGGAGCGGAAGCAGAGTTTCGGTGAGAACAAAGTGGCTGATGTGACTGTAGGTCGCCCGAAGATACATCAATACCGAAAAGGTTCGAGTGAAAAAGCAATTGGAGGCATACTTGACGACCATGATATCCAATAGCCCATATTCGTTAAGCTTGTATGGGCCAAATGAAGCACTATTCGTACTCAGTATCCGGGCGGCTGCCATCAAACGCCAAAAACTTACTGAGAGGCGTTGTTCACTGGGACAGAAATGGATTGAGAATAGCTGGCTTTTCGAAAGATGCCCAATATTACCGAGTATGTCCAGCCTTTCTTCCTTTGCAAGAAACTCCGTTGCAGCTTCCTTCACTGAACGCGGATCCGAAAGCTCAAGCTTGAACCAATGAACGCTCCCTTTGCTCTCCCCTTCTCCACCACCGTTCTGCAGCTCGGCCCTAATTTCCTCGATAGCTTTCTGCGCTTTCTCCTTGCTTCGTGAGGCCATATAAACCTTGGCGCCTTTCTGCGCTAGGAATTCAATTGTAGCATAGCCAATTCCAGTGCTAAACCAAACCATTCCATTGAATGAGCAGAGCATACAGAGAGTCAAACTAAGGCTCACTTTCCGCCAGTTACCAGCGCTACTTTTCCATGAAGATCGACCAGGTCGTTTTCCGTTATGACTTTCCGCGAGAAAAACATGGTCTAGTTGACAGGGGAGGATGACGGTTCTCATCACTGAGTTACATATGTATAGCGTGCGTACTGATCTGGAAGTTTTTGCTCAAGAATTCGATGGGTTGATACAGGACACGGGACTCACCTGTACTGGATCTTCCTTCTGATTTTTCTTTGTTGTTCATAAGAAGTCTTTTAGAGCACCAAGGATAAACACGGAGCAAAACATTCGAACATCACATCGAAGAACAGAGGATGCACAACGTGTGAAATTTATCACCTTGCTTGCTAGGTCCTGCGCTATGTCGAAGAACACGAGAACACCCATATTACAGCTCTCACTGATCTAATCAACAACGCCGTCAACGATGTTATCATCGAATACGCCGCAGTCGGACACGCCGTACCGTCTCTCGACACACTCGAACCAGGTCCTTTCCAGCACCTCAAAGACACACCTGGGCGAATGACTAGAGTTATTCAGATCATCAAAGCAGCCTGTGCACAACTTTGCTCTAGCATTGCTCCTCCAGGCTCTATCATGATCAATGTGTGTGTCACAGGGATAATTGGATTTGAATGCAGAAATCATTGGAGGTATCGGAGGTAGGCATGGACTGGGCATAACTTTCTCCTGATATAGCTACTCATTGAAGCTACTCTTGCCTAGCACAATGAACCTGCCTGCTTGCTTGTTGTAACCAAGGCTAAAATCGCAGACTTCCTACTCGACAAATCAGGAGGGCCACCAGCATCAGAATTAGCTTCGTACGCCCGGGCCGCAGGCCTTAATGCATGGAAATTAACACGTATATTGCGCTTTCTGGCAACAACCCATTGTTTCAAAGAAGGTGAGGATTGTCCTTTGACAATTTCAAGTAGTACTTACCGCCCATCATGCTTAAGTTCTCCTCCTTGTACCTATGCTAATAAATTCCCTATAGTTCACCAATAGCCGGCGGGAGCTCTGAGGAGACGTTAAGAAATGGTCGGAACTTCTAGTTAATAACTATGAGTGACTTATTTATCCTCACCACCTCAGGTACAATGGCCGCTGTGGATTTTGAATGAGGGGGAAGAACAACTGGATTGGGGAAACAATGATGATGAGGAGGCTGATGATAATGAACGAGCTCAACAAGCACTAGAAAGTGTTCCCCTCCGATCACACAATCATATACATCAATCATCTCAATCACCTCCTCATAAGAGGCGGAAGATCCAACCATTAGCTCCCTCATCTCCCTTTTCTCCTGCTCCCTCTCCACCTCCTGCTCCTGCTTCTCCTCCACCTCCTGCTTCCACTTTTCCTGGTCCAACACACATTGTTCTTACACTTTCTTTTTCACTGAGCCAGCAATTTCCACCATGCTCAGCAGCACCTGTTATGTATTTACCCCATCCTGAGATGCCTTCCATGGCAAATTCCCATCTTCCTCCTCCTTCAATGTTGCTTTGTCTTCCTCCTCCTGATCTTCCTTTGTGGGTTCTGCTTCCTCTAACTCTAGATCCATCATCTGTAGGGCCTGGGTACTGGTCAGAGCAAGATACTGGCTGGAGAGGGCTCTCCAGCAAGAAAAGAACCCAGAGCAGAAGTCAAAGCCTGCTCTGGGTGCTTTTGCTGCCAGGAAGTGTTCTGAGCTGCTTTCGGCTGTTTAGCCGAAAATACAGGTTTTGCAGTTGATTAGAGCCAAATGCAAGATATTTTCTCAATATAGTTGATGAGTGGGAAGCTTTTGAAGAAGATTGTCCTTTAGGGTACCTAATACAGAATGGGGCCTACTTCCAACAAGGCAATGGAACACCAACACACCCTCCCAAAAATCTGTTTGTTCCACCTGTGTCTCAACCCCCAGATGTCATTGATGGTGATTTAATTGATGACTGAGGATTTCCCCGTTGCAAACACTTTACCGGACAATGTAATGGAAGTCAATAAGGTGCCTGAAAACTTGGGGGAACTTGTAAATCCTTTGCTGCCCCTGAATGATTATGGTTTCGACAATGGTAAGTCATATACCGGGGCATGTTTTTATAAAAATCAAACTGTTTTTTCAATCTAACCTGATTGATACATAGTGCTGTCAACGTGCCTGTTGATGTAGAGGCATGGAAAGTTATCTGAAAATTCCTCTTCTTGGAGATGACTCTTTCTCAATGTGAAGATGAACTGGACAAACTTATAATGACTTGAAGAGATGTCCTCTTCTTTGTCAAATCACCGCACTCGAAGATGATGCTTATAATTTTAAACATGCCATTGATGTAGTCATTGACTGGTGAAGGCACCACTGTACAAGTTAACAATTGGCATCCATGTTATTTGACCCTCTGTTGACAACCGACACTGACCACGATGATTAAGATCCTCAACTGAACTCCGCTAACGTCGATCAGACTGTTTCCTTTCTTGGATGAAAATAATGACATATACATAAAAGAATGTGTTATTTATTTTTTCTTTCTTGCCTGTTTACTTTGTCTAAATTCAGTCTGTGATTGTGAATGAACTGCATTGGCATGGCAACCTTGTTTTCTCCCTGTCTGTTCTGTCCAGTGCCTCTATGATACATCTCAGTATTGACCAATAAGGGAACAAGTGGCTCAAACAGCAATATAATTTTATAAGTTTTGATCTCTAGCAAAATCAGTATGGAAGAAATATTTGACCAATGATTAGAAAGGAACAGCTTCCATGGATTGCATGTAGGTGCTGTCACCAGGCTGACGGTTTACAATTGTAAGCTTCCAACCAGTGCTCCGGAGCAGGCGATCAAAGTGGTGAATCGTACGTTCTTGGGAGTTGAATAAGAGGCACATCTGTTAAGTATATCAATAATTTGCTTCATTGTGACTAAGCAAGTAACATACATCAATATCTGAAAGATACCCCATTTCATTCATAGCTCCATAGTTGGCCAGCAGAGGAGCCGGAGCTTCATTAGGGACAGCACCTATAATGCTGTTCTCTTCATCACCTGCAGGATCATGACATGCATAAGGCATGATACTTTCAAGGATAAGGAGCACAGTGCTAGGAGTCGCTGCTTGACGAAGATTTAGCAATATTTTTACACAGTATTCATCTGACCAGTCATGGAGGATTTGCTTGATCATGAATACTGCTGCATTTTTCTGGGATTGTGGTGTAAAGAAATCATGAGCTTGGTAAAGGAGAGCTCAGTAACCAAAACAAGACTTTGAATGGGAGAAGTATAGCTACCCTCAAGACAAATTCGTCCTGTACTCAAAGCCTCGGGCATATTTTTACTCCACCACTGATATTGGTTCAGTCCTGGTGACCATTAATAGGGAGAATGATTCAACTTACCTTTTTGCCATCCTCAATTGGTCCCAGAAGATCTTGAATGACGAAGTAAAGCTCAGGAAAACTTTTTGCAATATTTTGTGCCACACTACCAATCCCACCCCCAACATCCACAACCAGGGATCCACTAGGTAGGTCCTTCCAGTTATATGCTTGAGCTTTCATTAGCACTAGGGTTGTAAGATCTTGGCAGTGAGGTTGCACCTTTGAGAACAGCATCCGGAGGTTGCAGAGCATCAATTCCCTTCATACCAATACCAAATCGGATTTCACGGAATCTTTGCTGAGGCTTGCTATAATATTGCCACAATGTTTCTCCATCGCCCACTGCTTTTGCAAATGCAGATGCTGTGGGAGCCCCGGAATGAGCAGTCGATGGTTCAGAACAAGCCTCCCATGCATAAGCCGAGGCTTTGAATGCCTCATCCAAGCTATTATAACGTGAATGAATGCACAGCTCCTGTCTCCGATCAAAAGAAGACGCACTGATGAGATGCCAGAGCAGCAAGACCCGGAGTATTATCATGCTTGTGTTCGGGGCTGAAGATTAAACCTCATTGTGAATGCTATACTAGTTATGTCTAGCTGTAATGACTGACTCTGCCTGAACCTCTTGGCTTGGCTTGAGAGTGTCTAACATACTTGATATGCGGGTGTTTGTGAAAACTTCAGGCGTAATTTCACGGTATATGTGGTGTAAAGCAAGAATCCTCAAAAATTGTCCTGCAATCAAACAAATCAGATGGATTAAAATTCGGTTAGTCCTGCATCATACATACCCAGTTTTCGCGGGTCTTGACCATTGAGTCTGGCAATATCTTCAACATGAGCACCCTTTGTATCTTATTAATTCTAAACGATAACACCAGAAACACAACTCACCTTTGTTCCTGCTTCTCGGAGAATTTCCGTGACATTGGATTCAAGACATACACGCAATGCAGCAGATTTGAAATGCTAGATGAATTAGTTATACAGCTGTGAATTAGGGAAGTGTGTAGATATCACTTACACCTCCAAGGATACAGGAGGAGGAGTCAAAATCGCAGCAAGTTGGTGTGCAGCTGCTACTATGAGACTGGAAGCCTCTGCAGCACGAGGGTCAGTGCGGAAGTCTTCTGAGGTGGGATGAAAAGGAGCCTGTAGGTCCGGGATATGTGTACCATTGCTGGTGCATGTTTGTTCAAGGACATTGACATTAGAAGTTAGAATATCCAGGAGAGATCGGATTGTGGAAGACATGTTGCGGATGTTCTTGAGATGGGATATCCAGTGTGGAGCCAAATTGACAAGTCTTTTTAAAGGCTCATCAGGTAATAATACCATTGGGAACTATTACACAGGATATTGTGACTAAATGATGCTGGTATGAAGGTGATTTGATGGTGTTTTCAATTTCAGCAGATGATGTAAATCCGGCGAGTCATGAACTGGTTTGAGCATATCAAAATCTCTCGGAACTTGTAGAAATCAATCAACTAGAGCTTGGTGATGATTTCCACCTGATTGAATGATATAATCATAACATTAAAATAACAGCAATAACAATAGAAAAAAAGCAGAAAAGGTTTGGCGATGTCAGAGTGCTCCAAAATTACAAAGGCAATCTGCAGCACGGGAAGTTCCAGGAGAGTTTTGACTGGATACTGTGATCGCAGGTTTCACGGGGTATGATGATGTGTCCAGCCTGAGCATCTGACCTCGAACTGTTAGAAATTTATTTTGTAGTGTCTTAGTGAAATTGGGTGTGAATTTTCAAGTGTTACTCCTATGTGACCTGTATAATCCTCCCTTCAAGGGGAATGTCCTTTGACCACCTAGTGTCAAGTCCATGCCTCGGTGCTCCATTCCGCCGCTCGGTATTCCGAAGATCTACCTTTTATTGTAATCTCATTCTTATTGTTCTTTCTCGCTACACATACCCTTTCACTCTAGTCTCTCCTTATTGTCTTTTACTCTACCCTGCAGGTACTACACGTATAACTCCTAGTAGTTAGTCTAGCGCTCCACACCGATGCGCCGATCCGTAGATATAAATACTGCCTGTATGCTACTATAGTTCCTCAGTTTAATTATCGACTTAGATTCCCTTCTCGACTTAGTTCTCCTCTAAGTCTTCAGGCTCATTGCCTTGAAGTACTCTCTACTCTAACCTTAGGACTTATAAGTTCTTTGGTTCGCTCCTCATCATCGGCGATACCGCCGTTCTGACTTGGCTGCTACTGGCTCCTCTTTTCTACACTCTCGATCTCTGGGGACTAGCGGCGTAGCGGCGGTGTTGTCAATAACTTCACTACTGTCCCACTCGACCTTCCGCTCTTAGACACCTTGTGGCCTCTGGCATGGTTCCACGGTGTAAATGATCTTAACACCTAGCAGTTGGAGCTCACTGTGGATATTCAGCGCTTTGAACATGGAAACACTATGAAGCCACTAAGGAGGAATTCTAATGAGAAAGTGATCATATAGGCAGTGATGTACAGGAAAGGATATTGGATGCAATTATGCAAAATTCTGGACACTTGAGACTGGAATCATATTGACTGGAATGCTCAAGAATCTACAGAGGGTGTAAACCACACTGGATTCAGCAGGTTCAGGCACAAGGTGCTAGAATGAATAGATATTGTCATAAAGTACGCAGCCCCTATCATTTTCCTTTTCTCACCGTCTCGACGCCTTTACTTGTACGATACATCATCCCATCACTGTCAAACCCCCATCGATTACTGATCCATCGATTACTGATCCACCTGACCCATCTTCTCCTTCTACTGGCTTCCGCCACCTTCCTTGTTCCTAAACTGTACAGTATTACATCGTTGTTTCTCGCAGACCGGATTATGTATATATAGCCAACCCTCCACAGCCTGGTCCCTTATCTTGACCTCTCTGTCATTATCTGGGACCAGGTATGTGCTTACTTACTATTACCTATGACTACGATACTCAATATATCACTGTCATTATCTGGGACCAGTCTGCCGCCGTTCTGCTTAGTCGCTCCGCCTTGTTGCCTTGTTCAGTTGCTCCGCCTCGCCGTTCTGCTTAGTCGCTCCGCTTTCCCGCTCCGTTAGTCACTCCGCCTCTGCCGCTTCGTGACAGATATACTATTTCCAGCAAGTGAAAAAGGAAAATTTAGATCACCTATGTACCTGCCAATGCTGCGCATGCTATGCCTCCTCATCATGTGGTTGCAGAGATACAACTCCAAATTACCTCCATGTGAGAATTACTATATGTGGAGAGATGCATTCTCCGATGCCGTTTGGGTGGTGAAGTCAACACCCATGTGTCACGTATCCACACAAAGCTTCAAAGAATTACAACAGAAATCAGATGAAGAAGATCAGGTATCAGTGAACTCCAGGTTTGAATCAGATAACTGTCACACTGCCATTGCCAATTCTTCTGGGACTCACACTTGCTCCATCAGCTTCATCTCTTGATCATCAGAGCAATCTTTCGAAAGGAACAGCAAGTTGCAAGCTGCAAAATCATCAGAAGAACCCTTGAAAGGCACCATGTGGTTGACATTCATCAATATATACTGGTGCAACAACACCATGGGCCTGTATCATGATTGATCTGTGAAGTAATTGACAACCCATTATCCATCCTAGTTCCTGGTAGGTCATTACTTGCATGATATCGGACTTGAACCCTGCTTGCCTTTGGTTAAATGATGGAATACACTGATGTGTTTCAGAAATTATTGCATTATCCATCAATGTTAGTGAATGTTGCTGAACTGTCAATTTTGAATTCAACCAAGAGAATTCCGATTTTCCTGTTGGTTTGTAATAGTTAGACAGTGAATATATTTACTACCTTATACTATATTAGGGGAAGCTTGTGTCTGGCATTGTGAACATTTATGTTTAAAAGTTTACTGTAGCTGAATGTATGATCCTTAAACTCATCAAACTCCCAAATCTGTAAGCAAGTTCTCCTCATGAAATATTTGCAAATTTAAAGTATTTTTCTTGGATTTGAACACTACTAAGAGCTACACGGAACCAAAGAAAGCAGTATTATCACTCCACATTATCATTGTGGGTGCGGGACTTGCTGGTTTGGCTGCTGCCTTCTGTCCAGGCAGAGCTGGTCATAGAGTTATTCTAATTGAAAAAGCATCCAAGATTACTGATCTTGGTGCTGGTATCCAAATTGAACCAAGTATTTCTGCTTCAAATGTTGATCAACAGGAATCTGAATCCTTTGCACTAGACATGGCGCGTTTGTTCATCCGTTGGGGTTTAGTTAACCAGCTCAAACAAATGGGTGTTATTCCTCAACATTTGATATTCTTTCGTTGTATGAGAGGTCTAATTGTCCTACATTATACACACGCCATCATCAGATTCCACAGGTGAAACATTGGCAACCACTCCTTTTAACAGCATGGAGAAAATTTATGGAGCACCTTATATGCATATTCATGTCTATTTCATCTGCAAAACCTGGAGCGCTCTCCCGCATTGAAAGCACCGAAAGCAAGATTTTCAACTTGCTTTCGGTGCTTTGGCTGCTGGGAAGCGCTCTCAGCTGCTCTCGGATGGTTAGCCGAAAATACATGTTTTGCAGATGCAATTGAACTTCAATTGTCTATCTATAGCAACTCTGTTCTCATATGCTTTCAGAGGCAGGACCTTCTTCAACTTCTTGTTGAGCTTGCATCTCCATATGCAGAGTTCATTCTTGAGAGTGCAGTCACTTCCATTGATCCTATGGAGCCTTCTGTTACTCTATTATCTGGCCGAACCATCAAAGCACATGTCATTGTTGCTGCTGATGGAATAAACAACACAATCTGCAAGACTCTTTTCCCCCACAGTGTGCTTAAGGAAACTGGCAACATTGCATACAGATCCACTGTACCGGTGGAAGCGCTAAAAATGACCCAGCATTAAGATTTTTGGTCGAAATGCCCCAAGTCCACTGTTGGCTTGGCCCTAATGGATGCATTGTATCTTATTGCATTGTGAGATTTGTCTGTCTATTCCTAGAGGGTATATCATTTACTGAGTGTATAGAGTGGAGGAAAAGAATATAATATTGTTATCATCATCTGAAAGAAACACATTTCACAAAATCAGGAAAAAGAAGCTCTGCAAACTATTCAGACATTCATCAAGAACTGGGAACCTTGGTAATGCACATCCTCCCTCTGATTTCAGATGTTGATTGCGGTAAAGTAGCATCCAGAAGCTATCAAAACTGATAACATTTGTTATGCAGACAAATATCAGGGTATGCCCTCCATTGAAGTGCTGGAGACATTGTGACAATCATGTGCTGGTTGGAGATGCATGCCACCCAATTTTGGTAAGTTTGCCACTCCTCTGGATGTAGATCTGAATCTCAGGGTCATACAGCCATATTGTGCTCAAGCTGCTGCAATGGCAGTAAGTATCATGTTTTCCATACAAGCAAATAATGTTGTTCAAATTATCAAAATTAAAGATTGAAAATGCAGCTGTTTTAGGCAGACTGCTCATGGAAAATATCAAGCAGAGAGCAAATTCCTGCAATTCTTCGGGCATATGAAAGTATCAAGATGCCCAGGATAGTATCGACTCTGGCAGACACATGGACGAATCGTAAAGTATTTCACTTGTCCTGAACTTCTACTAGTGTGGTCATCACTGCAAGTATTCTCCACCTGACATAATTCAACCCTTTTTCATGTACCCACACTTTTCAGGGCTGCTAGCTCATTTCAAATCACTCATCATATCCACTGTGAGAACTACAGGAAATAATATGGAATCCTTTCATTGTGATTTCAGATCACCAGCACCTATTACATGAAGATTTTTGTTTGAACCAGTATCAATCTTGCAGTACTCCTCCTTTCATGTCCGTCTAATAGACAGTGTTCACACTAATGATCCAGTAAACATTATCCATGACAATTGAGTAACCCATCAACTCATTCATGTTTGAATCCCAATAACCCAAATGCAAAGAGTCTGAGAACTTGGCACAACTTGTTCTGATGTACCCCGAATTGACTTGTTCCTCCCAAATCTGGACAAACTAGGAGTGACTTGCTGAAAAGTGCCTACTTTTTTTTCTGTCTTGGTAGTTGTTTGACATTTATTTTGAAGGAACATGTAGCAGCACTATTTTTTCCAAATCCATGTATGTTACTGATATCACATTCTGATAATCTATGGTTCATGAGGTTTTTCTAAGCCTAGTGTCAAGCTTAGATTAATGGCAAGTTTACTGTGTCC